CTGCGCCCTCCGAAGCGGTGGGGGTCTGGGGGCTGTTGGAGGCGCTCCCAGCGGCTGGCTCATGGCAGCCCTGGCCCTGCCCTTCCCGGGGGATCAGATTCCTCCTGGGCCGAGGACTCCTGGCCATATAAGGCCGTCTGCGGGCACCTCCTGGAGAAGCTGCAGAGCCCTCACCCTGCCCACCCCCCGTGGGAGCCAGAGCTTGGCTGGGCCCCGAGGATGGAGGCTGGGGAGGGGCCTGCTGGAGCCTGGTCCTGCCATGGCAGGGGGGTAGGCCTCGCCCTGGGCACCGTCCCGGGCTCCCCTCACCTGGCTTCCCCAGGGCCGCCCGGGCTGGGGTGTGCAAAAGGGACGTGGTGCAGATGGGGTGGCGAGAAAACTGGGGCCAAAGGGCAAGTAGGATAAAAACGGCACCAAGGATCTGCGGTGGCCGCTGTGGCCGCTGTGACCCTGGGGGCTCCCCACCGCCTGGACCCCCACCACACGGCCCAGCAAGCGCCAGGAGGTGCCCTGACAGGGGCCACCCTTAAGAAAGGTGCATGGGACCAGGTGCATCACTGGACCAGGCCTCCTTTCTCTCCCAGACACAAGGATGCTGGACGCAGCTGGCCCTCGGCCCAGTCCCTCCCTCCCCGTCCAGTCAGGTGGGGCCTGAGGTTTGTTGCTGAAGCTGACCCCTGAGGCCACGGGGGTGGGGGGTGCTTGCAGGGATGCAGACGCCTGGCCCATCGCAGATGCCCCCTCCCCGACATCCCCCCAGCAGGGGCCAGAGCAGCGGGGCCATCGCATGCACCTGTGGCCGCTCTCTGGCACCTGCCCTTCGCCAGGCCTGGAGGTACGGCGGGGCCAACAGGGCAGGACACAGCTGAGATTTCATTTAATAGAATGAAGAAGTCCGGGAAATCAGAGCAGCCCAACACCCACTGGCTCCGTGGGTGGTTCCTGGAGGGTCCAGACCTGGGGGGGGGAGGAGGGAGGGAGGCGGCCAGATAAGGGGGTGGGGGCTCCACGATGTCCCAGGTAGGGGTGACAAGGCCAAAGTCCCCCGCGAGGGGGAGGGGAGCAGGATGCTCCTCAGCAAGGACTGGACAGAGGGGCCTGCTGGGCGGCGAGGGTCTGGCTCCTATCCTGAGTCAAGTGGAAGCCCCCAGTGGCCTGGGGGGGACGGGGTGCAGCGACGTGGAGCCGTAAGAGTTCCAACCCACAGAAGCAGCCTCTCGCAGTGCTGAGCTTTCTGGTTCCTTCCAGCTAATGGTGCATCTCCCAGAACCAGGCAGCTCCGTGTCGTTCGGAGAAGGGCTCTCCTACACTCATCCGGGGTCGCCAAGGCTGTGGGAAGGGGACACCAGGCTGGACCCTGGACAATGAACCCTCTGGTCCGGGACTCCGTGCACATTGATGTCACTTGCCTCATGCCGTGGAGGGTCATGAAGCCCCGTATTTCTGAGCACCCTGGGGTCATGTGCTTTTATAGGGCAGCTTCCCTGTCCAGGGCATCAGTTGGGAAGAAGGCAAGCCTAACTAGGGGAAGGAGCTTTGGGGACCGTCCTGGGAGAGCCTGGGATTGCGGGCCTGGCCAGCCCTAGTCTCCTGGCCCCTGAACACCCCTGAGCCCATCTATGGCCTCTCTGGTGTGCAGATCCACCTCCCACCATCAGGACGCCCACAGGCCAGGCCTGCAGTAGGTACCCTGAGGAGCACGGCCTGGGAGCCGGGACCCTGCTGAGCTCTGGGGTCGGAAGGCTCCCAGAGCAGGGGCGGTGGCCGGACAGCTTGCTCCTGCTCCTGCTCGGGGTCTGCTCAGAGCCTGCGGGACCGCGGGCCTCACAGCCAGGGAGAGCCCAGTGGGGGCCGGCGGGGGCCGAGGGCAGGCGCTCCGGCCAGAGCAGCAGGGGCCCTCCTGGGCCCTCCTCGTGCCGGGAATGCCGGGGCTCTCACCTGGCCCCATCCTTCTGAGCAGCAGCCCTCGTGCGGGGTGGACGCAGGCGGTAGCCCAGGACAGAAGGGGTGCTCCTGGCCTAGGGGAGGGGCCCAGCGATGCTCTGGGCCTCTTCCCGCCCTCGGGCCCAGGCCCCCGCTCCCGAGGCCCGTCCCCTGCCCACTGACCTTCACCCGAGCTCCTAAGCTCTGGGCTGTACCCACGAAAGGCCCCAGGAAGGCTGTGGCCTGAGCAGTGGCCCAAGGGGACCGGGAACTCCCTCTGTTGGGCTGGGATTATGACCTCCCACGCGGCCTCCTCCCAGCTGTGAGACTGCAGGGTGTCCAGCTGGTCCCGGTCCTCCTCTCACACGACTGGCTTCCGCCACAGCCCAGGGCGGCCACCAGACTCCGCTGCACACGTTCCCGCCAGCTGGGTTCCCTGGAGGGGCATCAGAGCAGAGACACACTTCCCCAGTGGGCAGCGGGGCCTGGGGGCCTCCCTGGGCCGAGCCGCGGGGCCTCCCCCCCTCACACCGGATTCCACGCTGCCTGCAGCCTCTCGCAGGGGTGCGGGCCGGGAGGTCCAGCACAGCTGCCTGGAACCCGTGTGACCTGGGGCACGCGCGTGGACGGAGTCGGCACCCCAGGACCCTGCTTCCCAGAGAGGCCGGCTCGGAGTTCAGGCTCAGGCTGACGCAGGTGTGCCCTCCACACACACACACACACACACACACACACACACACACACACTCATCTGCCCAGAGGATGGGCTGAGCAGGGGGCTCCTGGGGATGCCTCTGAGCCGGGGGAGGGGCCTGCCCTGGGGGCCAGCTGTCCAGGCCAGGAGGACCCCCCACGCATCTCCAACCTCCTCAAGTCCCAGTTCCCCTGCGGCTGGGTGCGGAGGGGCCCGGCCGGTGGTGGTCAGAGTTGGGCGGGAGGAGGAAGCCAGGCTCTTCCGAGCCCCGCCCCTGGAGCTCACTCCTTGGATAATCTGCCCCTCCCCCACCCCGCCCCTCCCCCACCCCCACCCTGGACAGAGGGATGGAATGCCGGCCCCTGGCTGCCCGCCCCCTTGCAGGGGGACACTTCCTCATGGACCAGGGCCATAAGTGCCCCATAAATGTGGGGGGAGGAAATGACTGACCAAGTCCTTCTTCCTTGCTAACTTGCCCTCCTGACTGACCCCCAGTTTTGGCCTCAGTTTCCCCACTTGTAAGAAGGAAATGTGGCCGGCCGGCCTGGGAGTCAGGAAGAAGGGAGACGGGGCGACTTGGGGGTGACTGGCTGGACACGTGGGCAGGGGCTAAGGTGGAAGAGACGCCTCCCCGCCTGCCCTGCCCACCTGCCCCCAGAGGCCCCTCCGTGAGGCCGCTGTGCAGCCTGGCTGGGGTAGCAAATCCACCCTCCACACCGCCCCCTCCCCGGGCACACCAGCTGGCACGGGGTGGGGGCACAGGGTGGGCACATTCTCCTCTGCCCATCTCACCCCCCCACTCCCAGCCACCAGTTGCTCCCGGGGCAGCTGTCTGCCGGGAAGCGTCTACCCGGATTAATTAACCCTCCCCGCACCGGGCGCCCTGGCTGACGCGGCACATTCTCCGGCAGCCTCTCCTCCCTCCCGCCTGCTCAGGCCCTCGGATGGCGGAGGCCTGGCCGCTAGGGGGCTCAAAGGGCACCCACCCGCCCCCTCTGCCGCCCCCAGGGACGTGGGGGAGCTGACCTGGGGTGAGGGTGTGGGGTGGGAGGCTCCCTAGCTATCAGGACCCCGAGCTATCAAAGGGGTGCCAGGGTTCAGAGCCCGGTGCAGTGATGTGCAGGGGAGGACCTCTGGGCAGGAGGGCGGACGGGGTGGGGACAGGTCAAATTCCCCATCTGGGAACTCTGCTACTGCCCAGAGGTGGCTTCCATCTGTCCGTCGCCAGGGATCATAAATTAGCTCTTGGGCTGGCCTGTGGGCTCTGGGGACTCCAGATTACCGCCCCCCACCGACTCCCGCCCATCCTCCGGGCCAGCTCCTCCCCCACTCAAACCTTCCCCTACAAAGGTAACTGCCTCCTTCCGCTCCCCCAGGTAGAACTAAAAGAAAAGTTACGAAATCCTGGAGGGCTGGAGGGTCATCCCCACCGTGTATTTCCCAACTCAGAGCAGAAAGGGCCGCCAGCTCCTTGAGAAACAGGACCTGCCAGAGGCCAGGGACGGCCAGGGGGGTGTGGGTGGTGGTGCACCCCTCCGGAAGGGCCGCAGCTGCAGGACCCCACTGGGACCAGCTGGCCGCCACCCCATGCACTCATTTCACCCGCCACCAGGCCTGTCCCGGGGGTCCCACGTGGGACATACACCCAGCTGGCCTAGCTCGGAGAATTGCGGGGAGCTGCCAGCCCAGCAGCTGCACATGCCCCCCTCACCCCCCAGGCTCCCCATGAGGCCGCTGTGGGCCAGGAGCCGGAGGGGAGGAGACCCAGTGGCCACAGCCCCCCAAACACAGAAACAGCTGGGACCCAACCCTGAGCTCCGGCCTCTGGGTCCTGTGTCATTTCCCAAGCATCCTCCGGCAAGCGGGGGCCTGCCCAGCAGGGGGAGTGGCCCGGAGCCGGCGGGCGCCGAAGATGGTGGAGCCCACAGCTCCAAGCACAGGCACCTCGGGCACCGGGGCGGGCTCCCAGCCGGCCACTGCGCTCAGGGACTCGCGGGTCCTTTGCAGCCCGTCTGCCCGGCGCCCGCCCGCAGGCTCTGAGCATCCTCCCTTGGCCCCAGGAGCCCGCAGTGGGCACCTGTGTCCGAGGCCCTGGGATCCGTTTCCCTATTTGAGAATAATCAAAAGCCGAGTCTGTGCAGGGGGGAGCTGGCAGGGTGGAATTGGAGCCAGAGGGGATCCCTGGGTGGCGCAGCGGTTTCACGCCTGCCTTTGGCCCAGGGCGCGATGGTGGAGTCCTGGGATTCGGTCCGCGTCGGGCTCCCTGCATGGAGCCTGCTTCTCCCTCTGCCTGTGTCTCTGCCTCTCTCTCTCTCTATGTCTATCATAAATAAATAAATAAAATAAGTTAAAAAAAAAAAAAAGGAATTGGAGCCAGGGACGCATGGGGTCCCCAAGCCGGGCCTTTCTATCGGGCTGTAGTTCCGACTCCCTCGGGCCCCCACCCAAGGCCACTCAAGGCTGGCGGGAGCGCACCGTCACCTGCACAGGGGGAGAGCGAGCCCCGGGACCGCGGGGGCTGCACAGGGTCGGCGGAGGGCCCCGGAGCGGTCCGGCTCCCGCGGGGCAGGCGCCCTGGGCTGAGCCGGCCGGGCCGTGGTGCGGCCTGACTTCCCGCCGCAGCGCCCGCCCCCGGGCCGCCGGGAGGTGCCCGAAGTTAGGGAAACAAAGAGCGGAGGCGCGGGCTGGGAAGGGCCGCCGGGGTACCGGGGCGCGGGGAGGGCGCGACCCCACAGCCTGGCCCCGGGCCAGCAGGTGCCCCTTCCCGGGCCGGCGCGCCGGGGTCCGAAGGGTTAAGGCCGGCGGCCGCCCCTCCCCGGGCGCGGGGCTCGGGCGCCCGGGCGGGCCGGGGCGGGGCCTGGCGTCCGCGGGCGGGGCGAGCCGAGCGGCCGCCGCACTCCGCCGGGCTCCCGCGGCGCCGAGGTCCCGGAGCGAAGATGGCGAGGCCGGGCGCGCGGCGGGGCGCGGGGGGCGCGGGGGGCGCGGGGGGGGCGCACGGGCCGGGGGCGCGCTGCTGCTGGCGGGCCTGGCGCTGCTGGGCGCGGCGCGGGCGCGGGCGGCGGCGGGCGGCGACCTCAGCCTGCACCCGCCCTACTTCAACCTGGCCGAGGGCGCCCGCATCTCCGCGTCGGCCACCTGCGGGGAGGAGGCCTCGGCGCGCGGCGCCCCGCGCCCCACCGAGGACCTCTACTGCAAGCTGGTGGGCGGCCCGGTGGCCGGCGGGGACCCCAACCAGACCATCCAGGTGAGCGCGGCCCGGGCGCGGGCGAGGACGCGGGGCGGGGGCCTGGCCGGGGCGCCCAGGTGCGGCCCGGCCCGGCCCGGCTTCGGGACGCCGAGGGGGCCCGGCTGGGCCTGGCGGCTCCGCGAGGGAGGCGCGCGCCCCCCGGCGAAGGACCCCGGCGGGGGGAGGGGGCGCCCGCTCCGCCTTGCCCGGGACGGGCCGGGACCTGCCTGCGGGGCGGAGGGCGCGGGGCGCGGGCGTTCCTCGAGTCTGGGGCCAGACCTGCGGGCTCTCCCGCCCCAGCAGAGGGTGAAGCGGCTCCCCCGCGTCTGGGGTGACGCACCCTCCAGGTGTGCGCGGTGGCGGCCAGCAGGGGTGTTTTTAACGGGGATGGGAGCAGATGCAAACCCAGGCAGCAGCTCTGCCCCACAGGTGCAGGGGGGGGGGTGGGTTCTGTGGGCCTCACGCTCCCTGGGGAGACGGGGTTGCAACCCCTGCAGACCCTCCCGGAGGCGGGCCCACCCGGCCATGAGTCTGCAGGTGTGAGTGGGTTAGGTGGCATCACCTGGCAGGGACACCTGACCAACAGCAGGGCTGTGAAGACCCTCTGGACTTCGGTTGAGTGTGGGATCCCGTGAGGCCCTTTGGCCGGTGAGGCCTCCTAGGTTACCCTTGGAGGGGGGCAGGGTCGGCACCAGGGGCTCCTTCACACCCATACTAGGCCCCTCGCCCCACCCCTGCCGAACCTTAGGAAGAATGGGGGCCCCAAGGCGATTGTAACCTGAGTCACCACCATCCTGTTGAAGAGGCAGGGGGAGGGGAGGAGGGCACTTAGAGGCAGATTAGCCAGGGTGGGTGATCCTGGAGGAGCCTCAGCTGGACCCCTGCCCGCCCGCTGCCCTGGCCCCCGCCACGTGGGGAGGAGCTGAGCCGAGCGGGAAGCTGGCGCCACAGAGCCATGCCGCCCGTGGGCTCACCTGTGTGCTCCGTCTGAGCCCAGCGCAGCTGGACGTTCAAGCCCACATTTCAGATAGGGAAACTGAGGCTCAGAAAGCTGCACTGGGGACACCTGCTGCAACCCCCACAGCCAGGCCAGGAGCCAGCTGGGGCAAGTGGTGACAGCCTGACCCAGCTGCCATCAGAGGGTCTGGGTGGTGGGAAGGAGCTTGTGTGGGTGGGGGTGTCCAGAGCTGCCGCACGGGGGGGCCGGCCGGGCCCTCGATGCCCGTCTTCCCGGCTCTCTGAGCCCTCTCTGAGCTCGCCGCCTGGACCCCTGCGGGCTTCCTTACTGTGTTTAGAGGAGCAGCCTGGGGCCCCGGGGCCAGAGCCCCTTTCCTGTGCGTCGCCCTACGGGTGTGGCTCCTCACCTGCAAAATGGGCACAGTGCAGAGCCCGCATCACCTGAGGCCGTGAGCTTGGGCTGAGGAGCCCGGGAAGCCACGGGCTATGCAGCGACTGACCCAGCGACTGACCCAGTGACTGAGGCTGACAAACATGGGGTCACAGGGGAGGGAGCACGGGGGAGGGTGCTCCTGAGTGAGCTCAGGGTTAGGCAGGAGAGGGGAGAGCCGGAAGCTTCCACTGTGGCCCTCATCCGGAGGCCGCCAGGTGTGCAAGGATGGGCACTAGCTGCTGGACACTAGCTGGACAGCCGCGTGGCCCCGGGGGGCAGAGGGCCTGCTCACTGTCTTGGCCTTTAAGGCGCTGCCGCCAGGCCCCAGCTGGAGCCGAGGGGCTGGGGCAGGAGGGGCCGGGGAGGTGACGCCCACGTCCTCTGTGTCCCAGGAGCTCAGTCTTGGGCTAGCACGGGCCTGGGGCCTCAGAGGATGTGGGGCCTGAGCAGAGGGGCTGGCAGCTCCCCGGGCCCCCGAAAGAGGGGGGCAGAGGCTAGCGGGGCGTCCCATGTGGGGCCTGCTGTTTGGGCGAAGTGGTCCTGTGGGCCCTGGAGCAGACAGAGGGCCCCGGGGGCATTGCAGCGCCATGGCCTCAGGTGGGCACTGCAGGAATTCCGGGCTGGCCCTGTGCCCCACAGGGGAAGTCGGGGGCTCAGCTGCCGGCCTGGTGACTCACGGGGAGGGGACGTCCTTACCGTTGCTCCCTATTTCCTTACTCTGTTCCTGGCAGGACCCTCTGTGGCGGAGGGTGGAGGGAGCCTGGTTTCCCCAGCACTGTCCACTGTGATCTAGGCCAGGGTGACAGCCGGCCGGGAGGCCCATGTCACCAAGAGATGCCCACTGTCACCTTTCATGGGGACTAGAGTCACTTCTCCTTGAGTCTCTGGGTGGGCCCGAGCAGAAAGTTTCCTGGGCCCGTGCACCCAGCTTCCGCCTGGGCTTGCTTGGGGGGTCAGGGGTCTGACCACAGGCGGCGTTTTCTGGAAGGTCCACGTCCTGTAAGTCCTGTAAGGTCTGCTACCACCCTCGGCCCCCCAGGCCCCTGATGGCTCACACCCATGTTTGTGGTGCTTCCCGCAATCCCTTGGGCTCCTCCTCTGTTTATCCTGGGAGCCAGAGCCCGGCTTCCGGTCTGGGGGTCACGTTTGAGCTAGGCAGTGGAGCCTGCACGGAGTATGGTCTTTTCCCGCTCCACTCCCCAGGTGTGGCAGCTTCATGGGGGGGGGGACAAGGTAAAGGGGGGGCAGCCCCCCCCCCCGAGCTCTAGGCCCCTGAGGGGGCAGTAAATTGAGAATCACTAAGAACTGGAGAATTTCAGGTCTGTGATAGGATAAAGAAAGGAGGGTGATGTGTGGGGGTTAGCTGCCTGGGTGGTCTAGAGCGCTGGGCCCCCGCGCAGGAGGTGACATCTGAGCTGAGACAGGACAGCAGACGAGAGCCCAAAGCCCGCTGGCAGGAACAAGGTCTGAGACAGGGCGACCCAGAGCACCTAACACAAGGGGTCCTGGGAGCCTGCTGGGTGGGCGGCTGGGTGCCCGGGGCCGGCACATGTGGTCTCACTGGGCAGACCCGCCTTCGTGCAGTTGTGGGGTGTCCGTGGCCACCAGGCCTGGGAGTGGGGGAGCAAGGGATCTCCCACGCTCCCACCTCCAACTCCTAGGACGGGGTCTGGCCCCCTGGGAAGTCGGGAGGGGTGGGGCAGCCACATTTCCCAGACGCGGCCTCTGGGGCCTCCATCAATGCCAAGTCCCAGAGGGCTGCCTTTGTGTGCAGAGGGATGGCAGGTCTGGTTTCCTCCGGGGTGGGGGTTGGGCCTCTGCTCGGCGGGCGGCCAGGGCCCAGCTCTGCCCCCCCCCGCCCCCGCTGCCCCCCACGCCCCCGGGCTCCCAGCACCTGCTCCTCCCTGCCAGGGACAGGCCTCCAGCAGGTGGCTGGTCCGTGAAAGAAGCAGCTGCCAGGCCCCGTGTGGGATCCGTTCATCTTGCTGTGGCCAAGGCAGGTGCCAGCGTTACCCCCACTCTTCGGATGGGGACACTGAGGCTCATCGAGCCGTGACTTGGCCTGGTCCCAGGGCTCGGAAGCGCCAGAACCAGGAGGTCCAGGCCTCGCCTGGGCAGCCTCCACTCCGGGGGCCTCTCCCCACAGGCTGCCGGAACGGCTTAATTCCTCTCTGGAGGCCCTAATCCAGGCTCTGGGCGGGAGCCTGCCACCAGGGTTGTGGGGGAGGGGGCCTGCCGTCCTAGCCACCTGCGCCCCTCCCCGGGCCTTCCGTGCCGGAGTGTGAAGTCCCCCTGGAGCGGCCCTGTCCCTCGCGGTGCCACTGGCCTGTGTGGGGTGTGCTCCTACCTTCTTCCCGGCCCTGGGCCTGCAGGGGTAACCCATCCGCCTGGAGCACACCCTCCACTTGCAGTGTAGGTCTCAGATGCCACCTCCTCCAAGAGGCCTGCAGGGATTTTCCCACCAAAAGAGGGTGCTCCTCTCCTTCCCTGCTCCCCGTTTCCCCCACGAGGCCTGTGGGCCTGTGGCCGTCTTTCCCACGAACCGAGCCGTATCCCCTGAGTCCAGAATGTAGTGGGCCCTCGATGTGTGCTTGCCGAGCAAACGGGGGAGCGGTGGGCGAGGGGAGGCGGTGGAGGCCCGCGTGGTGGTGGGAAGGTGACCCTGGACCATCCGACCCTCCCCAGGGCCAGTACTGCGACATCTGCACAGCCGCGAACAGCAACAGGGCGCACCCCGTGAGCAATGCCATCGACGGCACGGAGCGCTGGTGGCAGAGCCCGCCACTGTCCCGGGGACTGGAGTACAACGAGGTCAACGTCACGCTGGACCTGGGCCAGGTAGGGTCCTCGCCCCTGCGGCCCGGAGCTCCCCCTGCTGCGTGCAGGGGAGAGGAGGGTGGAGCGGCGCACCGGGTCGGGGTTAGGGAGAGGGGCGGCCGGTGGGTTAGGGAGGGGGTCAGGGAGAGGGGTGGTGGGCGGGTTAGGGAGAGGGTTAGGGAGAAGGGCAGGGAGAGGGGCGGGCTCCGCGGCGGGAGGCCCGTGTTTACTTGGAGGAATTCCTTCGCGCAGAGCCTGGCGCTGCCTGGCGGCCGTGGGAGGGGCCCCAGGAACGAGGCGGCCTTGGAAGTGGACATTCCTGGAATACCTGCGCTGGGGGGGCACCTTGGGGTTAGGTGCGCCTGGGGAGGCCTGGGCTCTGTGTGCCCCTTGGCCCTTGACGCCCGGGGCAGGGGGAGGGGGCAGGCGGTTCTCAGTGACAGAGGAGCCGGCGTGTTGGATGTGGCCGACTTCGGACTCCCTCAGGCTACGTCCTGCTCCCAGTGGCCTCCGGGCCCCTCCAGGGACGGGCCAGCAGTCACGCTGCCACCAGGCTGCGGTGGGGGCAGGTCGAGGAGGCCGAGCCGGGGAGTGGCCACCACCAGGCCTGCAGGACCCTCCCGTTCAGGTGGCCTGCGGTGCCTCACTGAGTTTGAGTCAGGACCGGTGCCGTGAAGCCCCCTCACTGGCCCGCTACCGCCACCAGCTGGGGACCCACGGGCAGGGAGCCCCCCGCCCCCTGCCCAGCTCCTTCCCCCTGCACTTTGGCTGCCTCTTCCTAGGGCACAACAGCTAATCCCAGGCCCAGGCCACCTGCTGGGATCTGAGCCCGCGCCTCTCACCGCCCACCTTCTCCCCCACCAGGCCTGTGGCCCCAGGCTGGAGGGGCAGGGGGTCCCCAAATCTGCCCACGGGGCCCGTCCTTCCAGCAACGTCCCCACCTCTCCTAATGCCATCAGGGCGACAGCAGGACCGAGGTTCACCAACGGGCAGACGCCCACCGGGTGGTTCACTGGGATGGAGGCAACCCCAACTGTGAAAGGACTGGAGGGGAGACGGGTCCTTTCCAGCTGTGTTGGAGGGAGAGCGACTTACCCACACACCTCTCCCTCCCCCACCCCTCCTTCCTTTTCTCTGCCCACCGGAGTCTCTTTCCACCCCCATCCCTCCCTGCCTCCTCTCCAGGGGCCGCTTGGATGGGGCTGGGGGACGAGGGCCCCTGCCCACCGATGTGCTGTGGGGTCGGGCAGGGCAGATGGACCCAGTTTCGAGCTCTATGGGTGACAGAAATCTTCCTGGGCAAGTTTCCTGCCGAGACAGGCTCCCAGAGGATTTTCCACATGCTCCCCACCCTCGTGGAAAGGGAGCTCGTAGCCTCTGAGCTGAGCCACCGAGGAGCGACGGGTCCCTTCGGGGTGCACCTGCTTGCTGGGGTTGGGGATGGAAACCGGGTCCATTGGTGCCCTGTTGGGGAGTAGAGAAGCCCCACGTAGGGTAGGAAGAGGACCAGGGAAGGTTCTGGACAGTAGAGACCACTGGGGCTGGAGCACCAGGGGATGTGTTTGGGGGCCTAGAATGTGGCCCTTGTAGTGACCAGGGTCTGAGCCCTCAGGACCCCCTTGTCTGGTGGTGTCCTGAGGATGACCCCAGGGCAGGACCCGTGAGCCCACTCCCTGGTGCAGACAGGGTGACAGGCTGAGCCAGGGGGGCCTGGCCAGGCCAGCACGGCCCAAGGGCCAGAGCCTGAGATCCTGGCCGCTTATGGGGTTTTCCTACTTTGGGGCCAGGCAGTTGTCTGAGGCATGGTGCTGGGGTGGGGCTGGGCTGCGGTCAGGAAGCGAGGCTGAGCGGGCAGTGGGTCTGGGCACACCCCCTGTGGCGGGCAGCCAGCAGCCTTTGTTCTGGGATCTGGAGCGGATTCCCCGGGAAGGGGGAGGAGGCAGCTGGCACTGGGCATCAGGGGGCCTTCCTGCCCCCAGGAGAACAGAAAGGGGGCAGGTGGGCTGCGTGACAGCTCTCAGCTCGTGCCTGATGAGTGGGCACCGGGAGGGTGGGGCTTGGTCTCGAGGTGTCCATCTGCCTGGGGTGTGGGGGCCCCAAGGAGCCTGCTCCCTCTTGCCCTGAGTCACCTCTTGTCCCCTGTGGTCTTTTCTGTCTCACGGCAGGCGGGGGACGGTGGAACTGCCTTCCTTCCCATTTTGCAGATGGAGAAACTGAGGCTCTGGGAGTAAAGTCCTGGCTGGGACGGGCAATGGGGAGCCCCGGGCCTTGGCTCCCTGCCCTGCTTGTCTGTAGACCTTGGCCGGGAACCCTCAGACCTGAGAGAACCAGGCTGTTGGTCGGACACTGCTGGGTGCCAACCCCAGAAGTGGGTCTCCTCCGGGGTGCAGGAGGGGGCCCCACATGTAGTCCCAGGGACCTGCCGGGGGTCCTCCTGGGTCCTCCTGCCAGCCTGAGCCTCCCCTTCCCTGTACCCGGGGCAAGGGGGGTGTCGTCTCTAACCGCCCAGGGTAGATCCTGGCTCATGAGAGCTGCCCCCACCAGTGGCTCCGCCATGGGGTCCCAGCCCCCTCCTCCCCCGCCCAGGGCTCTTTTTTTTTTTTAAAGATTTATTTATTTATTTATTTATTTATTTATTTATTTATTTATTTATTTATTTATTTATTTATTTATTTATTTATGATAGAGAGAGAGAGGCAGAGACACAGGCAGAGGGAGAAGCAGGCTCTATGCAAGGAGCCTGACATGGGACTCAATCCCGGGCCTCCAGGATCACACCCTGGGCTGCCGGCGGAGCTAAACCGCTGAGCCACCGGGGCTGTCCCCTGCCCAGGGGTCTTAAGGAGCTGGGCAGAGCTAGCTGGGGCTTGCTGTGGGGTGGGGGCTCTGTCCCTTGGCAGACGTCCCCTGGGGCCTGGCCATGGAGGAGGGACTCTCCCCGGCGGTCCCCTCCCTTACCTGCCCACCGTAGGCACACTGCCCACATCTGGCTTCAGGTGGGGAGTGCTGACCCCCCCAGCTGTTCTTCCCCTGCGATAGGGCAGGGCGGCCCTAAGTCTCAGCCCTGAGAGGCCAGGTATGGCAGGGGGAGCAGGGCGGAGGGGGACTGGGCCCCGGCATCAGGGGGTAGGCCGGGGTGGTTGAGGACTAGAAGTGCCAGGCTCAGGAGTCTGTGCCCTGCTTGGGGGGCAGCAGGGAGACAGGACACCAGATGGGGGTGCCGGGGAGCAAAGCTTGGGCACAGCTGCCGACCGTGGGCAGTGGGTGAGCCCCCCCCCCGGCACTTGGGGAAACTGAGCCAGTGTGGAGGACCAAGACCCCGGGGTTGGGCTTGGCCACGGCCCGGACGTGTGAGCTGTGCCTCCTGTGTACACGGGGACGAGAGCCCCTGTGTGTGGGCGACATGCCTTGGCCAGGGCCCCAGAGTGCACTGGCTGCCGGGCTCTTAGGATCCCCGTGCAGCCCTGCCCTGCCCGCCCCGGGTCTAGGCGGCTCGCCCTCGGACGCCGGCCGGCTCGGGGCTCCCTGGGCAGGCCTCCGGGTCCCGGTGTGCCTGCGGGCCTGCCGGCTTAGGAGGCTGCGGCCACTGGCCTGGCGTCCTGGTCCAGCTGGGCACGCGGCCATGTGGCCACCACCCTGGCAGCGTCAGCGGGGTTGTTCAAGGGAAGTGGCAGGAAGTCTGGCCCAGGCTGGCCAGGCTCTGGTTACGCAGCCCCTGGAGCCAGGACAGGTGCGGGGGCTGGACCGGACGTGGGCCCTTGAGCTGGGCTCCCTGGGGGAGGACGCTGGGGGTCCTGGTGGCATCCCTGGGGTAGACGTCCCCAGGTCAGGCCCACCTCTCATGAAAATGAGCAAGACCCTTTGCTCAGAAGACAAGGGGCCAGAGGAGCCACCCGTGCCCAGGCCTGGGGGCCGTTTGTCCCCTGCCCTGCGTGGCTCATCCGTGCGACGCTTGCACGCGGCCGTCCCAGCGTCTCTCCTCACCCTGGGCACGCACACCTCCCTGCCACCTCCTGTGTCCCCGCCAGGCCCTAGTGGCCCCCAGAGCCTCCTGTTTTCTGGGTTTCAAACCCCACGCGTTGGTCTCCAGCAGGATCACTCGCTGAGACTAAATTGTTTAGGTTTGGGGGCTCCCCCTGGGATAAACTCTACTTCCTGTGGCCTAGGATTGACCATCTGGTCTGACCTGGGCCAGGCTGCAGGGAGGAGGGGACAGGGCAGGGAGCCCGGGGCTGGGGCCGGGCCTGAAACCTTCAATGCTGGAGGCCCGAGACAGCCCTTAGAGGGCGGGGGGGGGGGGGGTGTCCCTGAATGGCCCCCGGCCCAGCGCTGGCGAGGTGCTAAGCCGTGCAGGACACTTGTCTTCCACTCTTCCCAGTGAGTTCCTACACACCTGTCGGAGGCCCCCCTGGTCCCCGCCACCTCTCCACCCTGCTGTGCACACCTGTGCGCCGGGCACCTCGACCAGAGCGAGCCCTGAAGCCACCGAGCATCCTCCGCGTGTCCCAGTTGTGCCTTCCTGCCCGCGGTGGCTTCCCACCCCCTGCCCCTCCTGGCGCCGGTCCACGAGGAGCCTGTGCTCAGGGCCCCGATCCCGTCGTGCGGATCCCGTCGCGGCGTGCGGCCGGCTGTGCTTGTTTAGGCAGCGGGGGGGGGGGGGGGGGGGGGGGGGGGGGGGGCTGGAGGACACGCGCCTGCCCCAGTCCCGCCGGACGATTTGTTTTCGTCACTGCCCGGGTTTCTGTGCTGGGAGGTGGGCAGACCTGGGGCAGGGGCCTTGAGGGTGGTCCCACAGTCTGGGGGGGAACCCAGGAGGTCTGGGTGCCCCCGGGGCTCACTCCAAGGGGAAGCCCGGACGCCTGGTCTAGGAGGGGCTTCCTGCCTCCGCCCAGCCGCAGCCTGGGACCCTGGCCCGGCCCGGGAATCGGCACGGGCCCTGCTTCCTGTGGGGCCAGGACTGAGTCACAGACTGCCCGGTGATTCATACCGCCCAGCCCGGCGGAGGGGGCAGGCTCCCTCCTCCCCTGGGACGGGGGCACGAGGGCCGACCTGGGTCTCCCCAGCCCCGAGGTGGGCCAGGGTGGCTGTGCCGGCCACGGCCCCGCCCTTGGTGATATGGGCGCCTGAGGCCACGAGGTTGCTGACCAGCTGCCCCCCCACCCCCTTCCCATCCTTGGGGGCGTCAGAGACCCCCGGCAGGGCCCGTGGCACCAGTCTTCTTCATGGGCTCTCCCCTCGTCTAGAACCCGGCCCTGGCCCTGCACACTGCCCCTCCCCGCTGCCAGCTCCACAGCAGAGGTGCGGGGTGGCTTCGGGGCCTCTGCAGCACCCCTGCCGGGTGGCTGCCCACCCCCCCGGGGTAGGTGGTGTCCGCCTGCTGGGGGCCCTTGGAGCCATCACACCACCTTGAGAGGTACTGTCCCTGAGCCACACACCTCTGCTGTTTGTCTTCCTTCTGCCTCTGTCCCAGGAGGGGAAGTGACAGCCCAGGACCACACAGCCCCCCTGATGCCTGGGAACCAGCCCCCCGCCCTCTGGGCCTCCTGCCCTGGCCCCAGCCCCCATCAGGCAGCGGTCTCCGGGGCCTGTCCCCCTCCCGGGGAGGCCTGACCTTCCATGGCGAGGCTGGGTGTGGGGGCCGGGGGTGCGGTGGCCGAGAGGCAGGTCCGGCTGCTGTGCTGGAGACGTGCCGGCCCCCAAAATAGCCAGATTTTTAAAAATAACTCGAGAGGCTTTTGTTTGGCTTTTGCTTTAAAAGACATTTTTTTCCTGCTACACAGAACTTTGTAGCAGCGGGAAAGGTCAGCCCCAGTTGGCAGCGGAGCTGAGCAGGCGGGCCGGTGGGGGAGGGCCGAGTCCAGGAGGCCGGGGACCGCTCCGCGCCCCAGGTCACGTCCAGGGCGGCCGTGCGGTCCTGGCAGCCGGGACCATGGGACAGGAGGGGACCGCCGGGTGCGTGGGGGTGGCCGTGTCGGGCCCCTGTGTGACAGACCGGTGCCTGGGTGGCAGACAGGTGGACGCAGGGCCTTCCCTCCAAGCGTCCCAGGGTGCTGTGCACGGGGGCGGACGTTCCCCTGCCGCCCTGGTGCCGCCCTATCAGTGCGTTCAAATCAATATTTGTGCAAGTGCTCTCAGCTGGGAAAAATGCGACCAGCCGCCGACCCGGGGGAGGGACAGCGCTGGCCAGCGGAGGGGCAGCCCGGTGGCCTCGCTCGGGGAAAGGCGGGGGCGGGTCCCCTGGGACTCGGCGGGAACCTTTCATTTCCCCGGGACTTTGGTGGGGGCCTAACCGCTGCGCCCCCCCCCCAGAGCAGCCTGTGGGCGTCTCGCACACGCCCAGGCCCTGCCCTGCTGTGAGCCCCTAAACACCCGTCCTGGCATATGGGCCCCTTGCGGTCCCCGGGGCTCCCGGTAGTGCCTGAGGGGTAGCCAGGGTGCCAGGCTGGGTGTAGGGTCCGTACCCCCAGGCCCTGAAGCCCCTCCCCCGATGGGCAGGGCTACATGGATGATGAACTCAGAGCCTGGCTGTGGGTGAATGAGCTTGTGCCCCCCCAGAGGCGGCTCTTGGCTTGAATTGGGCCTGTCTCTGCAGACGCCAGGCCTGGGAAGGGCAGGACTCAGAACGGGCGTGTCAGGGGCCCGGGACCTTCCCTCCCCCGCACCCCATTCTTGCCTTCTCTCCTGGGATGACCACAGAGGCCTCAGGTTGAGGGGGGCTGGGGGTTGACTGTGGGCCTCAGGCAGCCCTGAAGAGGCCCCAATGCTCTGGGACCGGCCCAGCTGGTCTGGGGCAGCAGGTGCCAGAGAGGACCTGTACCTGGGGCCGGTGGGGTCCCACAGAGGGTGCAGTGGGGGGCTTGGAGCCTGATGTCACCCTTGAGGCTGGTGCACACTGCACTGCCCACCTGGGGGTGCCCCTGGGAGTGGGGCGGGGGTGTGGGCGCCCCTCCCAGGCCCCGAGGTGGCACATCAGCCCGTTGTGTGTGCCCGTGTCTGGGACCTCCCACTCCTCCTGAGAGCCCTCCCAGTGCAGACCGGGGGTGTCCTGAACCCCACTGTCTTCCCTGTCTGGTTTCCTTGGAGCCCAAACGGGCCCAGCCTGGACAGTGGCCTGCCTGCTTTGTTCTCTTGCCTTCGGGGCAGAGGGCTGGGGGCGGGGGCAGCACTCGCAGGCCCTCAGGGCTGCAGGGCCTGGAAACCACTGTCCCTCCCCTGAGGTCATCGTGTCTGGAGGCTGAGGCTGGGGCGGGTGCTGGGATGCCCCCCCCCGGAAGTGTGCGTGCAGGGCACAGCAGACACGCACGGCTGGCCGTGTGAGGGTGGGCCTCCCAGCCGGCCGGCCTCGTCATCCGGGCGGTGGACTGTTCCCAGTGACCTGGGGCCCCTCCTGGGATCTGAGGCCCGGGGCTGGGGGCTCTGGGCGCTGATGGGAGAACCCCTGGCCATGTGCCACATCCCCAGGGAGCTGGATGAGGGGTACCTTTGGCAGCGAGAGCCCAGTTCTGGTGCCTGGGAGGGTGCTCCAGCCTCTGGGGGGCAGCCGCCTCTTGGAAGGGCCCCTTAATTACTCCTCCGCACATGCAGCGTGGATGGGCTACAGTCGGAGCTTCCGTGAGGAGACTGCCCGATGGGGCTGGGGGGCCGAGGCTAAGGCCTGCTAGGTTGCAGGGCCGGGGGGCGGTCGACAGAGGAGGGACCTCACCAAGCCCCCGGGGCACAAGTCAGAGGGGCATCGGGGATGCTGACCTCTGGTCAGGAGGAGGTGAGAGGCAGCCATGAGCACCCCCTGGGGCCAGGGACAGGACGCAGCTTCGCCCTCCCCTGCCCGGGGCTGCCCCGACGTGCCCTCCGCCTGTGTCGCTCCAGTCTCCAGCTCCTGGGCTGGCAGGCTCCCCCCGGCCCAGCTCTGAGGGGGCTCATTCCCCAGGGTGTCTACCCCAGGGGGCCTCGGTGGCCGGGGGCCGGTCAGGAGGAGAGGGGGCAGGTCCTGAGTCAGCCCCGAGGACGATGACGGGGGTGACCGGGGTGCGGCTGGGGCGGGGACCCCGTCCTGGGAGCTGCCGGCTGTGTGCGGAGGCCAGGCTCCCGTGGGAGCTGGGGCCAGCGTTTGGCCGCTGCCCAGACCGGCCACCAGAGCTTCGGGGGCAGTGGGGCACCTGCAGTGGACACCAGACAGGCTGCCCCCAGCTGCCCCTTCCATCCCAGGCCTGCCGGCCTGAGGGACCCCTGCACCTCTGGGGCGGGGGTGGAGGGAGGCACCCCCAGGCCCGGGAGGGTGGGGTCCCCAGTGCGGGCCTCAGCAGCCACGGGTCTGAGTGAGCGGGGGCTGCTCCCTGAGCCGGCCGGGCCCCCGGAGGCCAAGCCCACGGGTGGCCGAGAGGGAGAGGAGAGCCCAGCCACGGGGCAGGCGGCCCCTCTGCCCAGCGCGGCCGACACCTCTCCGCCCCGCAGGTCTTCCACGTGGCCTATGTGCTCATCAAGTTCGCCAACTCGCCTCGGCCGGACCTCTGGGTGCTGGAGCGGTCCACGGACTTCGGCCGCACCTACCAGCCGTGGCAGTTCTTCGCCTGTGAGTCTGCGGCAGGGGCTGGCCAGGGGCGTCCCTGGGGTGGGCGGCCGTCACCAGGCTCTCAGGGTCCCCGCCGGCCGGGCCGGTCCCCCTGCACGCCCGCCTCCCGCATGCGTTCCCAGAGACAGGTGCCTGTCGTGATGTGGGGCACGGCTGGGCCCAGGGGCTGGTGGCGCAGGAGGCTCCGGGGCCACCCCGTGGCTCCCTCCAGGCCGGCTTCGTGGTCCGGCTGCTCCTGCAGCAGCAGAGGGAGCCGGGTGGGCGGCGGGGCCTCCGTGACCCATCACGGTGATGGGGAGCCTGGGTCCCACATCCCCGAAAACTGCATGGGCAAGGGCGGGGGGGGGCAGCCCTCTAAAGGGGAGTCAGAAACGGTCCCCCAAGGTCGGGGATGAAGAGGGCCATCGGGGGGTGGGGGCGCTCGTTCTCGCAGAGAGGGCGGGTGTGGCAAAGCCTGGAGGGTCCGTCCGTGTGGGGTGGCCACGTTCAGACCTGCCGGGCTCTGGGGCTCCTGCCTGTACCCCGCCATGCCCTCCTGGGGCGGCTCCTCCCTCGACCAGGGGCCTCACTCTATTTTCAACAAAACCCTGTGGGGTCAGCGGGCAGCCCATGGGGGTGCAGCGATGTTCAAGAGCCTTCCCGGGGCCCTGCACCCTCACCCCCCGCCCGGTTCCTGCAGCCTCCAAGAGGGACTGCTTGGAGCGGTTCGGGCCACAGACGCTGGAGCGCATCACGCGGGACGACCACGTCATCTGCTCCACCGAGTACTCCCGGATCGTGCCCCTGGAGAACGGCGAGGTGGGCCCCAGAGCGGCACAGGGGCGGGGGGCGGGTGTGCTAGTGCGGCGCTGGCTGCTCCCTGGCCTGACCCTCCGGCCCGACCCTCTGGCCCGCGCAGATCGTGGTGTCCCTGGTGAACGGGCGCCCAGGGGCCATGAACTTCTCCTACTCGCCGCTGCTACGAGACTTCACCAAAGCCACCAACATCCGCCTGCGCTTCCTGCGCACCAACACGCTGCTGGGCCACCTCATGGGCAAGGCGCTACGGGACCCCACCGTCACCCGGCGGGTGAGCCACCGGCCAGTGGGCGCGGGGAGGCGGGCTGGGCTGGGGGGGACGCGGCGCTCACCGGCCGCGGGTGCAGTACTATTACAGCATCAAGGACATCAGCATCGGCGGCCGCTGTGTGTGCCACGGCCACGCGGACGTGTGCGACGCCCAGGACCCCGCAGACCCCTTCCGGTGAGGCCCCGCCCCCTGCCTGTCCTCATCCCCTTCCCAGCTCTGGGCCGCCCTGGGCTGGCCCCCAGCCGGCTGCCTCTCCTGTCCTGGCGAAGCCAGGACCCTGGGCGGGGGAGTCGAGGACCTAACTGGCTTGCCTACCCCTTCTGGAGGGTTCTAGGAGCTTCCCTTGGTGCTCCGCACGTTTACTCTGCGGCGTCGGGGAGCGGACGCATCTTTTGTTGCTCAGGACTTTGACTCTGAGAGTGTGTGTCGTGAACTCAGGCCCTTTCCGGGCCATCAGCTCTGCCTGTTGGCTCCCCCTTGTACCTCTTTTCTTCCGGAATCCCGTTCCGTGGACAGGACCTTCCTGCGGTTTCCTGTGCCCCCCGAGCTGCTCCTGCGTCCCCCTCCCCATCTCCTGAGCTGCCTCGGGACCGGCACTCCGGTCACAGACCCTCCAGCTCAGCGTAGCCCGACTGCTGCCTTTAATTCCAGTGATTTTATCTTCGTTTATTCAAGTTCCCATTGGTTCCTTGGCCACACCTCCCTATATTTTAGAGCATCACGTTTTTGAGGTTTTAGACGCCTTAAACGTTCTTATTTTACGGTTTCTACTACTTGCTCCCAAGCTCCAGGGTTGAGTCCTGCTGACCGTCGTGTTGGAGGGCCTGGCCGCCCGTGGCCCCACTGCTTTAGCCGCCCCTCGTCTGAGGCCTGGCTGGGGATGGTCACTCGCAGGGGCCTCTGCCACTCACTGTAGGGTCCCGCAGCCTGGCCCCGCTCGGGGTATTTCTTGTGCCCTGACTACGCGGACAGCGGAGCCAGACACGGCGGCGGCCCAGTGGCACAGGCTGAGCTGGGGTGAAGACGGGCCTGCTCCCAGGGCCGCCGCCCCTGCCTCCTCTGCCCCAGGGGCCTTCGAGGCACCACTTGCGGGGCAGCAGCATGGACTCCCAAGGCCCCGCAGACCCTGTGGGGGGACGGGGCTCGAGCCGTGTGCTCTGGGGCCTGGGTCTCCACGGGCTGGCTTCGGGGCCCGGCTCAGGGCACGCCCAGCGCCATAGCTGGGTGCTGGCCCGGGGTGCTTGTGGAGGCGTGCGGCGGGCGGGGGGTCCCAGCGGTAGGCGGCTGCAGCCTTGGTCCTCAGCCGCGGCCCGCTGGCCCCCAACCCCGAGCCGGCCGCAGCCGCTCTCCAGGACGGCAGGCAGGATCCGGGCCCTCCAACTGGCGTCTGCCCCACTGCAAGGGGAAGCAGTTCCTGGCCCCTGGCCCCTGGCCCCTGGGCACTGGGGAGGCGCCCTGGACACCCGGGGGCGTCTGGCTGGGCTTGTGCTGCTGCGTGAGCCGGCCCTTGGAGCTGGCCCAGGGAGCCGGGGCGAGGAGGGATCCGCTCCAGCTCGGGGACCCGGGGCTGCAGGCTGACCACCCAGGGCCCCCGCCCGGCCCTGCCCTGCCCGCCGGCACGCGTCCCGTCCCCTCCCCCAGCCCCGGGGAGGCCGTGCGTGGCCCCTGGTGCCCCTCTGGGTCCACAGCGGAGCCCCTCCCGTCCCGTTGTCCCCACAGGCTTCAGTGTGCCTGTCAGCACAACACGTGTGGAGGCTCCTGTGACCGTTGCTGCCCCGGCTTCAACCAGCGGCCGTGGAAGCCGGCCACCACCGACAGTGCCAACGAGTGCCAGTGTGAGTGCCCGCACGCGTGCTCGCCCGGGCCCGCTCCAGCCACCTGGTGTTGCCGCACCCAGGGTCCCTGTGGTTCGTGAGTCGTGCCCCGGGTCCCGGCAAGGCGGGGTCCTGGGGGCCCGTGAACATCTGCCCCCCTTCTCTCCAGCCTGCAACTGCCATGGCCACGCCCACGACTGCTTCTATGACCCCGAGGTGGACCGGCGCAACGCCAGCCAGAACCAGGACAACGTGTACCAGGGCGGCGGCGTGTGCATCGACTGCCAGGTGGGGCGGGGGCTGGGGGGCGGGGGCAGGGCCCCAGGTGCAGGCCGCCGTCCCGCGCTCACCCGCCCTGTGCCCCCCAGCATCACACCACCGGCATCAACTGTGAACGCTGCCTGCCCGGCTTCTACCGGGCCCCGGACCACCCCCTCGACTCTCCCCACGCTTGCCGCCGTGAGTGGGGTTGGCCCCGGGTGGGCCACGGGGTGTCCCGAGGCTCCAGCTCCCCGTGCCCCAGGGGCCCTCGCGCAGCTCTGGGAGGCCCCGCCTGGCTCTTGCGCCCCTGCCCTGTCCCGGGGCCCTGGGCTCGGGGTCTCATGACTCCCCGGCCCCCGCCCAGGCTGCAACTGCGAGTCGGACTTCACGGACGGGACGTGCGAGGACCTGACCGGCCGCTGCTACTGCCGCCCCAACTTCACGGGGGAGCGTTGTGACGTCTGCGCCGAGGGCTTCACTGGCTTCCCGCACTGCTACCGTGAGGGCGTCAGCCTGGGGGGACCCGGGGGTGGGCCCGGGGGGGCCTTCGGGCCTGCTGACACGTGCTGTCTCCTCCCTCAGCGGTGCCCTCCTTCTCCCCCAACGACACCGGGGAGCAGGTGCTGCCGGCCGGACAGATCGTGAGTAAGTGTCCCCGAGGCCCCCGTCCTGCCCTGGGCTCCACTAGAGCAGTGGCCGGGAGGGGCCCCACGAAGGCCCCGCAGAGAGGGATTTGTTGCGGTTACTTTATTTTCGGTTTTAGTGTTTTTCTGCAAATTCCGCGTATCGGTGCTAGGAAACCTCCGAGAGGACGGGTAAGCATAGAGCGGAACAGAAAGGTGCCCGGAGTTGTGCCGCGTTCAAACGATGGCTCTCCCCGCAGCTGGGACCTTCCGTGTGCTGCACACGGTCCTTGGGCGAACGTGGTGGGTGTGTGCCGTGGGCACTGCTTTGTGCTTCCGCCCGCCGCGGTCCTGTAAACACGTCACCTCGTGGTCCGTGTCATCGCACAGATGCAGTATCTCATCAGTCACCCCCCAGTTGTTGGAAATTTAAGTTCTTTCCAACTTAAAAAAAACCGCTACAGTAAACATCCTTGCAGCTCAAACTTTCCATAAATTCTCAATAATTTCTGTAAAACAATTTCCTAGAAGGTTCTGAGTCACAAGATGTGCGTGTTTGGGGACATTTGTGGCCGTAGGTTGCCAAATCTCTCAAAAGAAAGAAATAGCGTGCGGCGTAGTGACGTCCGCGGCATCGGCAGGCGCGGATGTCGTCGCTGTGGGCACCGCCCGCGGACTGTTGGCTCGGCTGGCAGGATGCTCACCACCCCCCCCCCCGCCCTGTGTTTCTGGAACCGGGCTCGTGTTTCAGGGGACGTTGTGTCAGTCCGAGGGGCAGGCGGTGTCCCTTCCTAAGGGCGTAACGGTGCGTTCGACAGCTGGCGGTGTCCTGGTTAGACGGCATTTGACATTTGGCATCTTGAGTGTTTCTTTGACGCATCTGTAAGGTTGGATCTTCTTTCAAGTGTCTCTTGACCTTTCGGCTGTTTTCCTGGAGACCCGGTCATCGGGGTCTTTGCTCATGCGTCTGTCCACGCGCCCGCCTCTCCCGGCCCCATGTCTTTGGGGCTCTTCTCTTCCGTGCCAGCGTTTTAACCCTCTTGCGTGGTTCTATTCAGGGGGTGCTTGCCCCTGACTCCGTCATACAGAGTGGTGCGCCCCGAACTCAGTCTCCCCACTGCCGGCCTTCGACGGTCTCTTCTCTGCCTGTAATTGTCGGCTTTTCATCAGCGGCATCGATGGGGGTGGGCAGACTTGTTCCAGAAAGGGCCAGGTGGCGCCTGCTTGCTTCCCACGCTGAGGACCAGGCGTCCTGCCTTGGCTCTCGAGCTCTGCCGTCGCACTGTAGCTGCCGAGTGGCATCGACCACGTGGATGTGCACGGGCCTGGCCGTGTTCCGATAAAACTTTATTTACAAAACAGCCAGAGCAGGGGATCCCTGGGTGGCTCAGTGGTTTGGCGCCTGCCTTTGGCCCAGGGCGCGATCCTGGAGTCCGGGATGAGTCCCACGTCAGGCTCCCGGCATGGAGCCTGCTTCTCCCTCTGCCTGTGTCTCTGCCTCTCTCTCTCTCTCTCTGTCTATCATAAATAAATAAATAAATGAATAATGAATGATAATAAATAAATAAATAAATAAATCTTAAAAAAATAACAAAGCAGCCAGAGGAGCCCGGGACTGTGGTGTGCTGATGCCGGGCCTCAGTGCCGAGGGGCCCCGTCCCCCCCGCGGCCCAGGGTCAGCGCCCAGAACGGCCCACGGCCGCGCTGATCGTACCGGGACTTCTACGCTAACTGCACCCGTGTGTCTGCGTTGGTGACGGAGCCCGGTTGAAAGCCATCTCGGTGGGGTTCTTGGGTGCGTGCCGTCTTGTTTTGGTTTTGTGATTCACCTTGAAAATACTTGGAAAATGACCCGTACTTGGTCACACTCCACAGTGGTTTAAAAATCACAGGAATCACCCGTTTCTTTTTTCTTTTCTTTTTTAAAGATTTTATTTATTCATGAGAGACACAGAGAGGGAGGCAGAGACACAGGCAGAGGGAGAAGCAGGCTCCTTGCAGGGAGCCTGACATGGGATTCGATCCCGGGGTCATGCCCTGAGCCCAAGGCAGGCGCTCAACCCCTGAGCCCCCCGGGTGTCTCTGAATCACCCGTTTCTTAAAAGTTTGATAGAACTTAGAAGGGCGTCTGGCCCTGACACGTGTTCACTGGAGATCTTGGGTTACGGTTCTCGTCCCTTCCATGCTTGTTGTATCTGTTCGTTCCCTAGCTCGGCTCAGTCCGTTTCAGTCATTTTTATTTCCTAGCAGATTGTGTCCTTTGGATTCGAAATGCATTGGTGTGGGATCCCTGGGTGGCGCAGCGGTTTGGCGCCTGCCTTTGGCCCAGGGCGCGATCCTGGAGACCCGGGATTGAATCCCACGTCGGGCTCCCGGTGCATGGAGCCTGCTTCTCCCTCTGCCTGTGTCTCTGCCTCTCTCTCTCTCTCTCTGTGTGTGTGTAACTATCATAAACAAATAAAAAATTAAAAAAAAAATAAATACGAAGTGCATTGGTGTAACGTCACGCGCAGCATTCCATCGTGAGCTGTACGTTTCTCTTATCATCTGTTTTCGTTTCTTTCTTTCGTTTCCTCCCTTTATCAGACCTGTCGGAAGGTTGACGGGTTTATCGGTGTTTTCAAAATACGGCTTAAGAGTATTCCATCTACGAGAGCTGCTGGGGTTTTTCTCTTTTTCCTTTGGGGGAGAGATTTTACTTCTTAACATAGAAAATGTTGAACTAAAAAAAAAAAAAAGGAAGAAAAGAAAATGTTGAACTAAAACCTTTAGATCCATCTGCTTCTTTCTTAACGAGTCGAGGGGTGCTGGATACTCAGCATCGTGCCGGCTCCAGGTGCGCGACGTCGTGATTTGAGGATCGGGCATGCTGCAGAGCGGTCACCACGGCAGCCGGTTAACCCTTGTCACCACACAGTTACAGACTTACTTTTCCCTGTGATGAGAACTTTTGAGGCCTCTTAGCAACTTCCAGACCTGCCCCGGGCTGTGGCTGCGTCCAGGCGCCTCATGCGGTCACGGCCACGTGAACTACGTGTCTCACGCCTGCACGTCTGTGCCCCCGGGTCTCCACCGCCGGCCCCACAGCCACCAGCGGGTTCTCTGTTTCCGTGAGCTCGGTGTTTCGTGTCAGCGCTGGGTTCCCCACGCCAGTGAGGTCACGCGCGCTTGTCTCTTTCTGCTTCCCGCCGTTTCCTCACCGCTTTCCTGGCTTCCCGGGCCCAGTAGCTCCACTCTGTCTTCGTTGTTGACAAAACGGTGCAAAGTGTGGCTTGTCAACCAGGAAGGTGTCTGCAGACCGCGTGGCTGTCGTGACGGAGGGGGTGGCCTTGCACGCAGTGTGGGGGGTGCTGGGCGTCACCTGGCCCAGGGCGCGAGGAGCGGCATCCAGGCCGGGCCCGGGTTGCTGTGTGGCTGGGCCCCACTCCCGATGGCTGCGGCCCAGGCCGTGGAGCACTTCGGTCTCCCCTTTCCTTTCAGCCCACCCTGCCCAGAGGACGGTCCCTCGTCCCGGGAGGTTATGTGTCCTTTCTTGCCCTGTCTGATGGCTCTGCATCGCGGTCAGATCCGCTAGCCTGCAGTTTCTGCTCTTTCTCTTTGGAATTGGAGATTTTCTTCACTTTTCACTTAGAACGTGACCCCTTCGAGAATGTTCCATGGCCGTACAAAGGGACCACATGTGCTGTGCGGGGCGCAGGTCCCCGTATACGTCCACATGTGTTCAATATGCCCTTTAAATCCACGCCATCTCTGCTCTGTCCTCATCGGCCTCTGAGGGCAGTACCTTCAGCCTTTCTGTCCAGGGCAATGGTTTTGCCAGAACCTTCCAGCTGAGCAGTTTGGCCCTATGCACCTGGTGACCCTGTGGTCCTGCTCTGAGTGCATGGGGCTTCCTGCAGCTCCGGGGGGCCAGGCCCCCTTCCCTGCAGCGGCTCCCTGTCATCCTGCCGATGCTTGTGGCTTTGGGTTCTCTGGAATGTTCTGGGGTCTCCACGCTCTGCTCACCGTCTCTGCGCCGTGCTGTCCCTTCACGAAGCTCTCCGTGGCCCGTCTGGGTCCGTGGTTCAGGGAGCATCTTTTCAAGAGGACGTGAGTTGATTTTCCTTCAAGAGCCAAATTGAGGCCTCTGGTTCTGCCTCGTGAGAGTAGCCGGGGCGCGGGCAGGGCCGTGGCCGTCAGGCAGGGCTTGCTCCTGCTCTTTCTGTGTCATCGCTCCTCCTGCGCAGGTGTTTGCCGCCCGCGTTCTGCTGGGCAACAGGATGTGTTCCGGGGTGGGGTGATTTGTGCTTCCTTCCCGGAGGGTTTGCGAGTTCTGTTTCTCTCTGCCGGTCGGGCCCGGGGTCGCCCTTACGTTTGTGACAAACATCAAACCATCATTTTCTATAAATAACAGCATCCATGACCTCTTTTTGTGCATCAGTTAAGGCGATCAGCACGTTTTTTTTCTCCTCTTTTCTTTTTTTTTTTAATTTTTTAATTTAATTTTATTTATTTATGATAGGCACACAGTGAGAGAGAGAGAGAGAGAGGCAGAGACACAGGCAGAGGGAGAAGCAGGCTCCATGCACCGGGAGCCCGATGTGGGACTCGATCCCGGGTCTCCAGGACCGCGCCCTGGGCCAAAGGCAGGCGCCAAACCGCTGCACCATCCAGGGATCCCTTTTCTCCTCTTTTCTAACCGCACAATTACTTATAAAGATGACAGCTCTTTTGCCTCGTTATAGTTTTGTTTTTACATCTTGTCTGGTTGTATCGACGCCTGCAGTTGACTTCGTAGCTACATTATAAACAACTAATTGCGTGTCCTCCGAGCGCCCTGGCTCATTGCAGGCGCTTTTCCAGAGGCTTCGGCTCTGCCTTCTGGCCATTTTGGTCGTTTAGTTGTGTGAGTGCAGCACAGTCGTGTGAGGAGACGAGTTTGAGGTGGGCAGTGTCCTGCGGGGAGGCCTGGGGTCTGCAGGCCCCTGAGGCCCCCCTCCCCTCCTCTCCCCCCAGACTGTGACTGCAGCGCCGCCGGGACCCAGGGCAACGCCTGCCGCCAGGACCCGCGGCTGGGACGCTGCGTGTGCAAACCCGGCTTCCAGGGCACCCACTGCGAGCTCTGCGCCCCGGGCTTCTACGGCCCCGGCTGCCAGCGTGAGTGCGGCCCCACTGCCCTCGCGTGGACCCTGGGGGCCCATCCCCTCCCCAACTGACACCACGTTCCCTCCCTGCAGCGTGCCAGTGTTCCAGCCCCGGAGTGGCGGACGGGGACTGTGACCGGGACTCGGGCCGGTGCACCTGCCGGGAGGGCTTCGAGGGCGCCGCGTGTGACCGCTGTGCACCGGGCTACTTCCACTTCCCTCTCTGCCAGCGTGAGCGGGGCCTCCCCTGCGGGCGTGGGTGGGCGTGGGGCTCGGGGCACGGCCTGCCTGGCTCAGGCGGCCCCCGTGTGCTGCTTCGCTCCCCAGTGTGTGGCTGCAGCCCTGCGGGGACCCTGCCCGAGGGCTGTGACGAGGCTGGCCGCTGCCCCTGCCGGCCGGAGTTCGACGGCCCTCACTGTGACCGCTGCCGCCCGGGCCACCACGGCTACCCCGACTGTCGCGGTGAGCGGAGGTCCGGGGCGGGGCCCGGGTGGAGCCGGAGGGCCACCCACGAATGCCCAGGGCCTGACCCCGTGTCGCCTGCAGCCTGCACCTGCGACCCACGGGGTGCCCTGGACCAGCTGTGTGGGGCAGGCGGGACGTGCCACTGCCGCGCTGGCTACACGGGTGCCGCCTGCCAGGAGTGCAGCCCCGGCTTCCACGGCTTCCCCGACTGCACCCGTGAGTGTGGCTGCAGGGGACGCAGGGCACGGAGGGCGGGCACGTCCCTCCCGCATGCCCACACCCTGCCTTCCTCACCCAGCCTGCCGCTGCTCCGCCGAGGGGTCCCTGCACGCATCCTGTGACCCCCGCAGCGGGCAGTGCAGCTGCCGGCCCGGTGTGACGGGGCTGCGATGTGACACGTGTGTGCCTGGCGCCTACAACTTCCCCTACTGCGAAGGTGAGCCTAGAGCATTGTGTGTGGCACGTGCCGCGTGTGGCCTCCCTGCGCTGTCGCCCTCGTGCCCACGACCGCCCACGTACCGTGTGTGCATGCGTGCTCTCACGTGATCCGGGGCGGGTGGGTAGGGCTGCCTGTGGTCCGAGCTTTGTGCAAGCGTGCCCTCACAGAGCTGCCCGTGCACAGCACGCATGCACACGTGTGTCCGTGCCAGCGGCCCTGGGGTGTGTTCTAACCGCTGTCTGTGGCCGTGGGGGGCGTGGGCCCTTCTGGGACCAGAGCCAGCAGGCACGCGCACGTTTTCAGGCCTGCTCACCTGGGTGGGAGGCATGGGTGCAGCTCCCACGCAGCCTCGGGTCCCGGCCACCCTCGGAGTCAGTGACCGACAGGTGACGGTGGGCCGGGTCTCTCCACAGCTGGCTCCTGCCACCCTGCCGGCCTGGCCCCGGCTGGCCACCGCCTTCCCGAGGTAGGTCCCAGGCCGCCCTCGGCGGGGCCAGCCCATCGCTGGTGGGGAGACCGTCACTGTGATCACGTGCTCCGTCGCTTTGGCATCCTCGGGGCCCGTTTGTCCCCTGGCTGGTCCTCTGTCCCTGATGCGGGGACAGGCCAGAGATGGGGCCGGGTCGGGGCTGGGGGGCTGCGGGTTGTGGGTAAGAGGGCAGGGCCCGCCCGGACCCTCCGTCTCACCTCCTCCCAGGCGCAGGTGCCCTGTACGTGCCGGGCCCACGTGGAGGGGCCGAGCTGCGATCGTTGTAAACCCGGGTTCTGGGGGCTGAGTCCCGAGAACCCCGAGGGCTGCACCCGTGAGTCAGTGGGTTCGGGGTGTGCGGGGGCTGGGCAGACGCTGGGGGAGGGCCGCGCAGGGCGGTGAGGGCTGGCCCTTCGGAGTCCAGGCCCGCTCTCCTCTCCGCCAGGCTGCAACTGTGATCCTCGGGGCACGCTGGGCGGACTTACCGAGTGCCAGCCGGTGAGTCTGAGGGCCGAGCTGCCCAGGGGCCGTGGGGCGGGCATGTCCAGACCCCCTCACGGCTGGGTCTCACCTTGCCCCTCGGCCGCAGGGCGACGGCCAGTGCTCTTGCAAGCCTCACGTGTGCGGCCAGACCTGCGCGGCCTGCCGGGACGGCTTCTTCGGGCTGGACCGGGCTGACTACTTCGGCTGCCACAGTGAGCGCCCCCTCAGCCCTCAGCCTGCATTCGGGGGGGCAAGGGAGGGACATGTGGGGCTGCTCCGGGGTGCTCCGGCTGGGAGGGAGGGAGGGACAGGGGGCTGCAGTGCTGCGCCCCTGGCACACATCCCTAGCCGGTCCCGGTGCCCCGTTACTGTCCAAGCCGCGGGCCGCCCCTGGGGGTCAGTGCGAGCTGGCTTCTCGCGCCTGTGGCCTCCACAGCTGGCGGCCGGGCGGGGCCCAGGCAGCCCTGACCTTGCTCCCTCCCGCTGCAGGCTGCCGGTGCGACGTTGGCGGTGCGCTGGGCCAGGGCTGCGACCCGAGGACCGGCGCCTGCCGGTGCCGCCCCAACACCCAGGGCCTCACCTGCAGCGAGTGGGTGCCCCCCCTGCGCGGCCCCGGGGGGCAGGGGGCTGGCGAGGCAGCGGACCCCGAGGCCTGCCTCTGACCTCCCTGCCGTGGCCAGGCCGGCGCGAGACCACTACCTGCCTGACCTGCACGACATGCGTCTGGAGCTGGAGGAGGCGACCACGCCCCAGGGCCACACCGTGCGCTTCGGCTTCAACCCCCTGGAGTTCGAGAGCTTCAGCTGGAGGGGCTACGCGCAGATGACGCCCATCCAGGTGGGCGAGGGGCCGCGCCTCCCCGACGGGGGCTGCGGGTTCCCCCTGGTTGGTGGGGAGGAGAGGGGCCCTTGGGGCCAGGGCACCGGCCACCCCGATTCTCCATGCCCCCCCTACAGCCCCGGATCGTGGCAAAGCTGAACGTGACCTCCCCTGACCTCTTCCGGCTGGTCTTCCGCTATGTCAACCGGGGGCCCGTGAGTGTGAGTGGGCGAGTGTCGGTGCAAGAGGAGGGCAAGTTTGCCACGTGTACCAACTGTGAGTACCTGGGGGGCTCCCAGCTCCCCCACTGCCCGCGCCAGCCTGCCCCAGCCCTGCCCCAGCTGCTCCTGGCCCACTCCTTCCCCTTTGCCCCCTTCCCCTTTGCCCCCCTCCCTCCACCCCACCTGGGGCCCCAGCGGGGGTGGGAGCCAGCCTGTGCCCTGGCCCTGGGGGCGCTGCAGCCTGGCGTGGCCCATGGGCTGAGTCTAGGATCTCCTGGTCCGCATCCCCAGGCACAGAGCAGAGCCAGCTCGTCACCTTCCCGCCCAGCACGGAGCCTGCCTTTGTCACCGTGCCCCAGAGGGGCTTTGGGGAGCCCTTCGTGCTGAACCCTGGCACCTGGGCTCTGGTCGTGGAGGCCGAAGGGGTTCTCCTGGTGAGGCGGGGGCTGAGCGGGCTGGAATGGGGCCCGGGGAGGGGGCCGGAGTACCCACCTCTCGCCCTGCCCGCCAGGACTACGTGGTGCTGCTGCCCAGCACGTACTACGAGGCAGCCATCCTGCAGCTGCGTGTGGCTGAGGCCTGCACGTTCCGGCCTGCCGCCCAGCGCTCCGGGAACAAGTGAGGGCCCGCCTGGCGGGGTGGGGGGCCGGGCCTCCTTGTGCTCAGGCTGCCCGCCCCTGCTGACCGCCGTTGTGTCCCCCCAGCTGCCTCCTCTACACCCACCTGCCCCTGGATGGCTTCCCCTCAGCGGCAGGACCCGAGGCCTTGTGTCGTCACGACAACAGCCTACCCCGGCCTTGCCCCACGGAGCAGCTCAGCCCCTCACATCCGCCACTGGCCGCCTGCCTGGGCAGTGATGTGCGTGTCCCTGGGACCCCATGGAGGGGCGGGGGGTGGTCAGGACCTGGGAGGGCGTGCCCTTGTCTGGGGGGTGCGGTCTGGTCCGTGGTGCAGTGACAGGACACAAGTTTGACCTGGGGCATCAGGACACCTTTGGGGCCAACTGTAGATGGGGTATCAGTGACCCCCACCTCTGGCTTATCATGAGGAGGCAGCAGGTATTTGTTACCTCTGAGACCCAGGCTGGGCTCTGGGCAGCAGGCCCTCACCAGTGCTGAGGCCGGCGGGCCTTGGGGAGGCAGGGGGAGGTGGGAGAGAGCAGAGGCTGGAAGGCCAGGTGGCCACGGGTTGTCCTGGAGGGCTGCCCCAGGCAGCGAGGACAACAGGTGCACAGACTCTGGGGTCAGAGGGCGGAGGCTGTGGGAGCAGAGGGTGGGGAGGGCTGTGTGCAGCAGTGTCCAGGGAGGACGCGGAGGCTCGTTCTCCACGTGGGGCCTGGGGTGGGGCCTCTGATCACTTTGTCCCCCCAGGTGGACGTCCAGCTCCAGGTGGCAGTGCCACAGCCAGGCCGCTACGCCCTGGTGGTGGAGTATGCCAATGAGGACGCCCCCCAGGAGGTGGGCACAGCCGTGCACACGCCCCAGCGGGCCCCCCAGCAGGGAACACTCACTTTCCACCACTGCCCTTACAGGTGCGCAGGGAGGGGAGAGGATTCAGGTCTGGGGGAGCCGTGTAGGAGGGCTTGGGCCCCAGGCCCCCCACCCCACCCCCTGCTGACTGCCGCTGCCCCTCCCGCAGCGCCCTGTGCCGGGCCACAGCCCTGGACGCCCAGCACCACCTGGCGGTCTTCCACCTGGACACGGAGGCCAGCGTCCGGCTCACGGCCGAGCAGGCCCGCTTCTTCCTGGTAAGGCCCTGACCCCTCCCCTGCACAGGCCCCAGGGCCCCCCTGTGGCTTCAGGCCTTTCAAAAGACACTAAGCAGCATCAAAGTAGGGGAGTGCTGAGCCCAGGGGGCCATCACCAGCACCACCGACCGTGGGCACCCAGTCACGTTTCTTCTGGAATCTTCAGGATTTGGGTATTTTTTCCCCTTGGCCACAAATATATGCTTGTCTAGAGAGCATTCCTGCGGCCACACGGGGAGGGGGGCGTGTGATGGGTTGGAGCTGGAAGGGAGACACCTCCTCGGTGCTCTGAGGACTGAGTCACGGTGACGCGGGCCTCTGCACACCCGTCTGTGACCACGAAGCCCCGCGCGGTGTTAACCGTCGCTCTGACGCCCAGAACCGAGTGGGTGTCAGCTGGACACAGGAGCCGTCGGAGCGTTGCCCTCTTACCGTGTTTCCTTGGTTCTGGTCCTTAGAAAACGTATCAGTCGTGCACATGTTCTAGTAAGTGCGTCAAGTGTTGACGAGAGACTTGCAGAGGGGAGGACCCCGTGGCCGCCCGCCGCGCTGGCTCAGCCCGCGGTGCTCAAGGGCACGGACCACGTCCCTTCGGCCCGACCTGCTGGCGGCGGGGCACGTGCAGTCCATGCTCCCCTCGGCCCCGTGGCGGGGAGCTAGGTCATTGCAAGGTGTCCACAGAGCCGCGTCCCGGGCATGCCCGGCATGTGCCCCAGCACCCAGCACCCAGGCCGGGAAGCCGCAGGCCCCGCCCCAGACACCCCGCAGCCCTGGTGGCCGCCCCCCGGCTCTGACAGCCACCTCATCCACCTGTCCCGGGGTGCGTAACCCAAATCACAGTAGACGCGGGTCAGAGATGGGTCCCCGGTGTCACCGCGGCCACACGGCGTCCAGGCCTCTGCTGTGGGGCACGTGCAGACGGCTTCCGGGCCTCACGTTTGGCTGTTTGCCGCACCCAGACCTGCCTGGTGCTGGACGGCACGGGCCCGAGGGCTGCTCAGCTGAGTGCTCGTCTGCACAGGGTCCCTGTCACCGGAGCTGAGGGGGAGGCCAGTGGCCCACGTGCAGCCGAATCACCGCAGGGGGCGACAGGCTGGGGCCCGCGAGGAGAGCCGAGTGGTGCTCCTGGCCTGGAAACCGCGGAGCAGGGCTGGGGCTCGTGCAGCCGGCGGGGCCAGGGGGCGGGGGGCAGGGACTTGGGGCACAGACGGGCCGCCGTGGGACTAGAGGCTGGGCGGCCCCGCGTGCATGTCCTCGTCACGCCCTGTCCTCCGTCCGCAGCACAGCGTCACCTTGGTGCCCGTGGAGACGTTCAGCATGGAGTTCGTGCAGCCCCGGGTCCACTGTGTCAGCGCTCACGGCACCTTCAGCCCCAGCAGGTGGGGGGCCAGGAGGGGCTGGGGGGGGGTGGCGGGGGGGGCGGCTCGCAGGACTCACCTCCTTGCTCGTCCCCAGCGCCTCCTGCCTGCTGTCTCGCTTCCCGAAGCCGCCCCGGCCCATCATCCTCAGGGACTGCCAGGTGCTGCCGCTGCCACCCGGCCTCCCGCTGACCCACTCGCAGGACCTGACGCCCGGCGCACCCCCGGCGGGGCCCCAGCCTCGGCCCCCCACGGCCGTGGACCCCGAGGCGGAGCCCACGCTGCTGCGCCACCCCCAGGTGAGGGCCCGGCCGGGAGGGTCGCCGCGTGCGCTCCACCCTGGCCGTGGGCCCAGCCCTGTGCCTGCTGACCGGAGCGCCCCCCGCAGGGCACTGTGGTCCTCGCCACGCACGTGCCGGCCCTGGGCCGCTACGCCTTCCTGCTGCACGGCTACCAGCCGGACCACCCCACCTTCCCCGTGGAGGTCCTCGTCAGCGGCGGCCGAGTCTGGCAGGGTGAGTGGCCGTGGGGCGCGGTGCGGGCAGGCCCCAGCCGGGGGCCTGCTGGGGTGTCCTCAGCCCCACGGTGTGGTCGTCACGAGACGTGGATGGATCCGTCCTAGAGGCCAGTTCCCAAATGGGGTGCCCGGGGCCCAGTGCGGACGGCAGCCCCAGCCTCCCGGCCCCGTCCCAGCTCCCACTCGATTCCCTCATGTGAGCCACGGCTCACCCTGTCGTGTGACGTTGACGGTCCTTGTGATCTCGCGTGTGTTGTTTTCGCTGGGCCGAGCTCAGGGACCTGCACCTAGCGGGCCTCTGCGTGGCCTCAGGCGGGTCACGTGTGCGTGTCGTGACACACATGCACCGTCCTCGGCGGGCATGGCACCATGACTCCAGGAGCGCCCCTGGGATGAGGCCGTGGGCCAGAGCTGGTCGTGGGGTGCGGGGGGGCACACGGACCTGCCTTTCCTTCCCCTCCAGGCCATGCCAACGCCAGCTTCTGCCCACACGGCTACGGCTGCCGCACCCTGGTGGTCTGTGAAGGCCAGACGGTGCTGGACGTGACCGACAGCGAGCTCACCGTGACCCTGCGTGTGCCCGAGGGCCGGTGGCTCTGGTTGGTGAGTCCAAGGCTGCCGTGTCGCAGGTCAGGTGGGGCTAGCATCTCTGGGTGCGGACGTCCTGAACCTGTTTGGGGGCACTGGCCTCTCAGGCGGGGTGCGTCCTCCGTCTGCCTTGGCCCAGCCGCACGCGAGGTGCCAGGGAGCAGCAGCCCCCCGGCCTCCAGGCCATAGTGTGAGGCTACGGTGCTGGGCGAGGATCTTCAGAGCCGAGATGCGTCCGCCAGCCCCCTGGGGCCCTGCTGGTCGGGGCGGCCTTCCTGGAGATGGAGGCCTGGACGGGAGGGGCATGGGGGGCCGGGTGCTTCCCCTTGGCGGGCCTCCCACGGCCCCCAGGGCTCCATCAGGCCACGGAAGCCGACCTCCTCCCGCCCCTGCCAGCCTTGCTGGGGCCCAGGGCTGGCCTGTGATGCTGCCGCTACCACCTCAGTTGCCCTGCTGGCCTCTGGCCAGTCACAGAGACCCCCGGTGACCCGCTGGCAGGCGCTGGTACCCTTCCCCAGCCCGGGTGCTCTCCGGGTCTGCGGGAAGGTGACAGAGCCCCGATCCCCAGGAGTATGTGTTGGTGGTCCCCGAGGAGGCCTATAGCTCCAGCTATCTCCGAGAGGAGCCCCTGGACAAATCCTATGACTTCATCAGCCAGTGTGCCACCCATGGGTACCACATCAGGTGGGCTGGGCTGGGGGCCAGGGCTGGGCTTGGGAGGGTCAGGGTGGGGGACTGGGGTTGGGGGGCAGAGGGGGGCTGCTCGGGGAGCAGGGCCGGGGCCTCGGAAGACAGGGCCGGGGGCTGGGGGGCAAGGCGGGGCCTGGGGTTAGGGCTGGGGGCTCAGGGGCAGTGCTGGGGCTCTGGGGGCAGGGTGGGGGGCTCAGGGGGAGGGTGGGGGCTTGGGGGACAGGGGAGGGGCTGGGGGGACCAGGGGTTTGGGGGCAGGGGCTTGGTGTGGGGGCAGGGCCAGGCCCCGGGGGTGGGGCTGGGGTGGGGCTGGGAGCCAGGGCAGGGGGGAGGCGTTGGGTAGGGAGGGGCGGGCGAGGGCTCTGGGCCTCACCACCAGCTTCTCGCCACAGCCCCTTCAGCTCGTCCCAGTTCTGTCGCGACGCTGCCTCTTCCCTGTCTCTCTACTATAACAACGGGGCTCGGCCTTGTGGCTGCCACGAGATGGGCGCCACGGGACCCACGTGCGAGCCCTTTGGGGGCCAGTGTCCCTGCCGAGCCCACGTCATCGGCCGGGACTGCTCCCGCTGTGCCACCGGCTACTGGGGCTTCCCCAGCTGCAGGCGTGAGTACTGCAGCCCGGAGCGCCAGCCAGGGGTGGGCTCTAACCCGAAGGGGCTTCCCGGCGGAGGGACACGTGGCTACAGGGGCGGAGGACGTTCTGGAGCCTCGGGCAGCTTGTGGCCTGGGCCCTGCCCTCTGTCGGACGGGTTCCAGGGACCGGGCGGCAGTTCCAGGCAACTGGCCCCCCACGTCGGGATCTGCCTGAGGCGTGGGGCCCGGAGCTGGGTGACACGGGCCGGGGTGGCGGGGGCTCACCACGCGTGCGTTCCCCACAGCCTGTGAGTGCCGAGGCCGTCTGTGCGACGAGCTCACGGGCCGCTGTGTGTGCCCGCCACGCACCATCCCGCCCGACTGCGTCGTGTGCCAGCCCCAGACCTTCGGCTGCCACCCCCTGGTGGGCTGTGAGGAGTGTAACTGCTCGGGGCCCGGTGTCCAGGAGCTCACGGACCCCACCTGTGACGTGGACAGTGGCCAGTGCAAGTGAGCAGGGCGGGAGGGCTGTCTCGGGTCCGGGTGGCGTTGCCACGGAGCACACTCCCTCCGGCTCCGAGGGGGAGGGGTTCGCCTTGGGGGGTCGCCGCCCGCTGGGGCTGCTGCGGTCTCAGTTCAGCAGGAGAGGTGGGGTCGGGGGAGGCTCAGCCAGCCTCTGAACCCCTCGGCAGGTGCAGACCCAACGTGGCCGGACGCCGCTGTGACACGTGTGCCCCCGGCTTCCACGGCTACCCCAGCTGCCGGCCCTGCGACTGCCACGAAGCTGGCTCCATGCCCAGCATGTGCGACCCCCTCACGGGCCAGTGCCACTGCAAGGTGCGGGGACAAGTGGGGCCTGGGTGGGGGTATCAGCCACCCCCTCCCCGCGCTGCCAGCTGAACCCCCCGGGGCTTTCTGGGCGCTTTAGGGAGAGTCAGCCCACGGGCAAGGGGGTGACAACGAGCCAGGGTGGGTTGGGCACTGCTGCACAAGGCCGACTGAGCCCCCCCCGCCCCCAGGAGAACGTGCAGGGCCCGCGGTGTGACCAGTGCCGCCTCGGGACCTTCTCCCTCGATGCCGCCAACCCGAAAGGCTGTACCCGCTGCTTCTGCTTCGGGGCCACGGAGCGCTGCCGGAGCTCGGCCCTCGCCCGTCGGGAGGTGTGCGGCCAGCGGGACTCGGGGAGGGGACGCGTACTACCCTGCCCCACGGCGTGTCCCGGTGTGGGACGGGGCCCCGGGCCGCGGGACGGTGCTCAGCTCCGGGTCCCTCCCGTGCGCCCGCAGCTGGTGGACATGGAGGGCTGGACGCTGCTCAGCAGTGACCGGCAGGTGGTTCCCCACGAGCTGCGCGCGGAGGCAGAACTGCTCTACGCTGACTTGCGGCGCGGGTTCGAGGCCTTCCCTGAGCTGTACTGGCAGGCCCCACCCTCCTACCTGGGGGACAGGGTGAGCGGGCCTGGTGGCCCTGGGGAAGGCGCCGTGAGGGTGTCCGGGCCGCCCTGGAGGGGGGAGGACGGCAGTGGGGCCGCCCGTGTCCAGGGAGGGATGGGCCTTCCGTGAGGGTGCCGGGGCCTAGCCCCAGGGGTGCCCAGGACCATGCTGTCAACTCTGGGCGTGTGGTCGGGGTCCGGCCAGGTCCCATCCCTCTGCCCCACCTCCAGGTGTCATCCTATGGCGGAACCCTCCGCTATGAGCTGCACTCGGAGACCCAGCGCGGAGATGTGTTCATCCCCAGGGAAAGCAGGCCGGACGTGGTGCTGCAGGTGACCGACGGGGTGGACGTGGCTGGCTGGGTGGGTGGGCACAGTGGGCAGAAGCGGGTCGGCCCAGGTGCAGCCCTCACCTGCCCCCGCACCTCCCAGGGCAACCAGATGAGCATCACGTTCCTGGAGCCGGTGTACCCGGCGCCCGGCCACGTTCACCGGGGACAGCTGCAGCTGGTGGAGGTGAGTGCAGCCGGTCCGGGCGCCCAGGTCCCTCCCTCGACCCCGGGGGAGGCCCAGGGGCCCCCAGGACAGGAGACGGGCCCGGGCACGGGTGCAGGCTCCTCCCGTCCCACCGCCCGCTGCCCGGGGCCCGGCGCTCCCTCCGGCTCGGGTTCTTCTGGCTCCTGCTCTTCTCCCCCCTTGGGGAGGTTGTGCGTCGTTCCTGCCGCCTCCCGCGCCCGCCTTGGGAGCAGCGGCTCCTCCCGCGCAGGGACTTAGGTGTCTCGGTGACTGGAAGTTGAGGTGTTTACTGTGCTCCGATTTATCAATTTTCCTGCGTCGTTGGGGTTTTTGCGTCTTATTTAAGGAAGGGCTCGTCTCTCTGAGATCAGAAGTACCCGCGTCTGGAGCTGGCGTTTGCACAGGGTGGGCGGCCGGGCGGCTCCCCCCGCGGGGCGGGCTGGTTTGGCTGCCTGCCGAGCCGCCGTGCCCGTGGTCTGGGTGTGTGGTCGGGGTCCCACTGAGCCCCCCGTGCCCATGGTCTGGGTTCCACCGAACCGCCGTGCCCGCAGGGGAACTTCCGACACACGGAGACCCACAACGCCGTGTCCCGCGAGGAGCTCATGATGGTGCTGGCGGGCCTGGAGCAGCTGCACATCCGCGCCCTCTTCTCCCAGACCTCCTCGGCCGTCTCCCTGCGCCGCGTGGCGCTCGAGGTGGCCGGCGAGGTGGGCGGGGGGCCTCCGGCCAGCAACGTGGAGCTGTGCATGTGCCCGGCCAACTACCGTGGAGATTCGTGCCAGGTGAGGCGGTGGGCGTGGGCACCCCCGGCTCTGTCCGCTTCGCCCCCACCCGCTGGGCACCGCCGTCCCCGCTGCCCTGCCTTCCCGCCACGGGCTGGGCTGACCCATCTGCCACCCCACTGTCACCTCTGTCCCTGCCCGGCCCTCCGTGCACACAGCTGTCCCGGTCCCTTCACTGCCCCGTCCACCCGTCGGTCGGTCCACCGCAGCAGCGGCCCCCTGCCCACACCCCGCCGTCCCTCGCTGTCACGCATTCCCACCTGCCCGCTTGCTTGTTTGTCTGAGGGCCTTTGTGACCCCGTCAGAAGAGGTGTGTGGGTTACAAGGAGGTGGCCCCAGCCCACGTGGTGGGGCTGCTCAGCTGAGCCAGGGCGTCCACGTGGCTTTGGGGGCTCTGACTTCACGTGTGGAGCAAGTCAGGGGAGGACCCCACGGGGTCTGCGAGCACGGTCCATCCTCTGGCCCTGGCGGTGGTCGCGCTTCCTTTCCTGACCGCTGGTGCCCCTCCCCCAGGAGTGTGCCCCCGGCTATTACCGAGACACCAAAGGTCTCTTCTTGGGTCGCTGTGTCCCCTGTCAGTGCCACGGCCACTCAGACCGCTGCCTCCCTGGCTCGGGCGTCTGCATGGTGAGCAGGGTCCAGCAAAGGTGGGGCAGCCACCTGAGACAGACCGGGGAAGGCAGGGGCCTTGGGTCGGTACTTGGGGTCCACTGGGGGAAGCCCGGGGGAAGGGAGGTGCCGCGGACGGGCCCTGGCTGGCCTTGGGCATAGAGCCCCTGGGGTGCGAGCTGGGTTGGGGTGAGAGCTGATTATTAGACCCTGCTTCTGGGAAGCAGAGCCTCCACCCCCGGCGCTCACCTGTCCCTCCCGCCCCAGGGCTGCCAGCACAACACCGAAGGTGACCACTGTGAGCATTGCCTGGCCGGCTTCGTGCGCAGTGGGTCGGAGGACCCCACGGCCCCCTGTGTCAGCTGCCCCTGCCCCCTCTCGGTGCCTTCCAACAAGTAAGCAGGGTCAGCCCATCCAGGGGCCTGACCGTCACGTGGGGGCCTACGCCTTCACGGCCCCTGGTAGGGAAGGTCGCCATCCCCTACCTGGTTGGGTCAGCACCGCCCTCTGGAGGTGGGGGCAGCTGGGGTGCGCTGGCCAGATGGGGCCCCTGGTGGTGTGCAGCGGCGAGAGAACCCCCTCTGTGTCTGCAGCTTTGCCGTGGGCTGTGTCCTGCGAGGGGGCCGCACACAGTGTCTCTGCAAACCCGGCTATGCGGGTGCCTCCTGCGAGCGGTGAGCGGTGGGGTGTGCGGGCAGGGGGGCAGGCGGGCCGATGGACAGACCTGGGGGCCGCAGGGTGGGCGGGTGGACCTGCGGGCGGGGGGCCGGGGAGGGACAGAGGCCGCTGACCCCACCCCCGTCGCAGGTGCGCACCCGGCTTCTTCGGGAACCCGCTGGTGCTGGGCAGCTCCTGCCAGCCGTGCGACTGCAGCGGCAACGGTGACCCCAACCTGCTCTTCAGCGACTGCGACCCCCTGACCGGTGCCTGCCGCGGCTGCCTGCGCCACACCACGGGGCCCCGCTGCGAGAGCTGCGCCCCCGGCTTCTACGGCGACGCCCTGGTGCCGGGCAACTGCACCCGTAGGCGGGCCCAACCCGGAGGGGCTCGTGGGGGCGGCGGGGCGCGGGGCAGCCCACCCGGAGCGGAGCGAGCCGGCGCGGCGGGAGCGAGGGGCCCAGGCCAGAGAGGCCCGGGTGGGCTGGGGGCGCAGGGAGGCCGGGGCCAGGCCGCGGCTACAGCACAGCCTCTGCAGGGTGTGACTGCGCGGCATGCGGGACAGAGGCCTGCGACCCCCACACCGGACGCTGCGTGTGCAAGGCAGGAGTGACCGGGCCGCGCTGTGACCGCTGTCAGGTGGGGCTGCCGGGGCGGGGCCTAGGGTGGGGGCGGGGCCTGCAGGGGGCTCGGCTGGGGCGGGGCCTGCAGGTCGGGCAGTCCTTGGGGGCATGACCTAGGGGCGTGGTCTGGGATGGGGGCGTGGCCTAGGGGCAGGGGCGGGGCCTGTAGGGGTGGTCCTTGTTTGGGGGCGTGGCCTGGGGGTAGGGGCGGGGCCTGCTGGTGGGGTTGTTCTTGGTTGGGGGCGGGGCCTAAGGGCAGGGGCGGGGCCTGCTGGCGGGGGCGGTTCTTGGTTGGGGGCGGGGCCTGCAGGTGGGGCGGGCCTTGGCTGGGGGCGGGGCCTGCGGGGGGCAGATATGAAGCCCCCGCCCCCCCCAGCCTGACCGCAGCCTGTGCCGCAGGAAGGATACTTCGGCTTCCAGGACTGCGGGGGCTGCCGCCCGTGCGCCTGCGGACCAGCCGCCGAGGGCTCTGAGTGCCACCCCCAGAGTGGGCAGTGCCGCTGCCGGCCGGGGGCTGGAGGGCCTCAGTGCCGTGAGTGCGCCCCCGGCCACTGGGGGGTGCCCGAGCAGGGCTGCAGGCGTGAGTACAGTGGGTGGGTTCGTGCTGGGGGGTAGCTGGCGCCCCAGGACCCTTTGCCTGCCACTCACCCTGCCCCTCCCCACCTAGGCTGCCAGTGCCAGGGGGGCCACTGTGACGTGCACACAGGCCGCTGCACATGCCCCCCTGGGCTCAGCGGGGACCGCTGTGACACCTGCAGCCAGCAACACCAGGTGCTGGTGCCAGACGGGCCCGGGGGCCATGGTGTCCACTGTGAAGGTGTGTCCCTGCACTGCAGGCCTGCTCGACGGCCACTCCTGTCTCCCCAGCTCCTCCAGGTCCACGAGGGGCCCCTACCCCTCACCACCTGGTGGCCCCTATGTCACTCTCCATTTCCAGAGAAGCCTTGTGACCTCCGCCCCCCTCTCAGTTTTCCAAGGGACCCCTGGACTCCGTGCTGGCCACACTCCCACCTTTTGATCCCTACCAGCCCTGGCCCCTGGCCAGCCTGGAACCCCTTGAGCTTGTACTGACTTCCTGGCACCTGCCCCATGTCTAGGGACCTCTTGATCCCCGTGCTGACTTTTCAACTGGTCCTAGAAGCCCCATGCTTCCCTCTGACCCTCACCAATCTCATCCCCTTCGGCCCGGCTCCATATTCCCGGGCCAGCTCCACGACCCTGGGCTGACCCGTCCCCACCACGCTGACCCCACAGGGGTCCTTCCCTGCCCCCGCGCCAGCCCCTGCCCCGCACTGACCCACCTGTGCTGCCCGCAGTGTGTGACCACTGTGTGGTCCTGCTCCTCGACGACCTGGAGCAGGTGGGCGCCCTCCTCCCTGCCATCCGGGAGCAGTTGCACGGCGTCAACGCCAGCTCTGTCGCCTGGGCCCGGCTGCACAAGCTGAACGCCTCCATTGCCACCTTGCAGGTAGGTACCTGTCGGCCTGGCCTTCCTGACTGTCCTCTCAGGTTGCGGGCTCTCACCTGCTCTCCTCCCCAGAGGCAGCTCCAGAGCCCCCTGGGCATCCGCCACGAGACAGCGCAGCAGCTAGAGGCCCTGGACCAACAGAGCTCGAGCCTCGGGCAGGATGTGCAGAGGCTGGACAGCCAGGCAGGCCCCGGGGACCCCCGCCCGGGAGGCCCCTCCCATCGAAAGCCCCTTCCCCTGGAACCTTCCCCATCAGAGACTGCACCCCCAGAGGCTCCTCTCCCAGGGCCACAGACCATCCCTCTCCCAGGGCCACAGATCCTTGGTTCAGGCTGTGGCCTGACGGGACGCTGTGCCCACAGGCCACGAGAGCCCTGGCCCAGGCCAGCCGGCTGCTGGACAGCACTGAGGCCTCGCTGGGCCGGGCACAGACGCTGCTGGTGGCCATCCGGGCTGTGGACCGCGTCTTGAGTGGTAGGGGCCAGCCCGGCCGGGCAGGGGATGAGGACAAGCCGACTGGTGCTCCGGGTCTGCAGGCTTTGAGGGACCGGCAGGGTTTGGCTGTTGCCATGTGGCCAAGGGAACAGCAGGGCAGCGTGGGAGGCAGGAGAGGGTGCGGGCACGGCCAGACTGGGGGCAGGTGGGCGCCGTGGGCATGCCAGTGCCCTCCTTGGGGATCCCCTGCCCCCCTTGGGGGTACTCTGTGGGAAAACCTGCTTAGTTACAAACAGGTCTGTTGTGAAAAGAAGAGACGGGGGGCAGGGAGGAGGTGGGATGGCGGCTGACCTGGGGCAGGGGCTGGCGGAGAAGTGGCCGCGGGGTGCTGGGGTGGGGCTGGGGAAGGCCAGGGGGCCGGGCAGCGTGCTGGGGCCCCGAACCTGCTCGGCTGGGGTCTCGGGTGTGCGAGTGAGCGCGCAGAGGTCCGCCTGGGCAGCAGCCGGCCCAACAGCCCTCCCCCGCCGCCAACAGAGCTCGAGTCCCAGACGGGCCTGCTGTTCCCGGCCAATGCCTCCGCCCCGTCGGGCGAGCACGTGCGCCGGACCCTGGCCGAGGTGGAGCGGCTGCTGGGGGCGATGCGGGCCCGAGACCTGGGAGCCCCGAGGGCCGCGGCTGAGGCCGAGCTGGAGGAGGCCCAGAGATGTGAGTGGCTGCGAGCGGCTTGAGCTGGGCCAGACGGGGGCTGGGCAGGCCCGGGGAGGGGGGGAACCCGGATTCTCACCCAAACCACCGTCCCCACCTGGGCCCAGTGCTGGCCCGTGTGCAGGAGCAGCTGACCGGCCGCTGGGAGCAGAACCAGGCGCTGGCCACACGTGCCCGAGACCAGCTGGCCCAGCACGAGGCTGGCCTCATGGACCTTCGAGGGGCCCTGAACCGGGCAGTGGGCACCACTCGGGAGGCTGAGGAGCTCAACAGCCGGAACCAGGAGCGCCTGGAGGACGTCCTGGTGAGGGGCCCTCTTCCCCTGCCCACTCCGGCTCCTACCCTGCGGCCTCTTGTCACCGCCCCATCATGCCTCCATTCGTGTCCCCCTGTGCTTTCCCCACGGACGCCAGCGACGGAGGCAGGAGCTGTCCCGGGACAACACCACTGTGAGGGCCACTCTGCAGGCAGCCAGCGACATCCTGGCCCGGCTGTCTGAGCTCCTGCGGGGTATGGACCAGGCCAGGGAGGTGAGTGCTGCCCCTCCCGGGGGCACCGAGGTAGGTTCCCATGGGGGCTCGCGTTCTCCAGGCTGTGCGGGCCGCTGGCCAGAGCGCAGCCTCTGGGTTCCCGGATGTGGGGAGACTAGTAAGAGATGGGGTTGAGGGTCCCGCTTAAGGCCCCCCCCCCGTCCCCGCCCAGGAGTATGAGCACCTTGCTGCCAACCTGGACGGGGCCCGGACGCCACTGCTCGAGAAGATGCGGGCCTTCTCCCCAGCAAGCAGCAAGGTGGACTTGGTGGAGGCCGCGGAGGCCCACGCGCAGCAGCTGCACCAGCTGGCCCTCAACCTGTCCAGGTGCGAGGCCTGCAGAGTGCCCGGGGGCGCAGCCGGTCTGGGAGGGCTCTCGGAGGAAGGTCCCAGCAGAAGTCCCGGGATCAGAGAGGCCCGCCTGGTGGGCAGCGGGGCAGGGGCTGGAGCAGGCGGGCGGGTTGGCCCGGCAGTGGTGAGGCAGGAGAGCCTGAGGGTCTGGCCTGCGGACCACTAACCTGCCCCATGTCCCCCACCCGCCCGCACGCAGCATCATCCGTGGCGTCAACCAGGACCGCTTCATCCAGCGCGCCCTCGAGGCGGCGCACGCCTACGGCAGCATTCTACAAGCTGTGCGGGCCGCCGAGGGCGCCGCCGGCCAGGCCCTGCAGCAGGCGAGCCACGCGTGGGCGGTGAGGCCCTGACCCTGCCCGCAGCCCAGTGCGAGCCCCCACACGCCCCGGCCCCTGGTGCCCGCCAGGCGGGTCCGAGCTGCGTCCTGCCCCCATGTCTGCAGGTGGTGGTGCAGCGGGGCCTGGCGCCCCGAGCCCGAGAGCTGCTGGCCAACAGCAGTGCCCTGGTGGAGGCCGCGCTCAGGGAGCAGCAGAGGCTGGGCCGCGGTGAGTGCCGGGGAGCCCCGGCTCCGGTCGCATTTGGGGGCGCGGTGGTCGGCGACTGAGGGTGACGGCTGCCCCGCGTGGGAGTCTTGCTCACCACCCGCTCGGCGTGTGGCCCAGGGAGCTCGGCAAAGGCCTGCCGCCCACCCTGGCCTTGTGGGGGACCCCAGGGCTCCAGAGAGGCCAAGAGGGGTCTCTCCTGCTGTCCTGACTGGAGCCCGATGGATGAGAAAGTGCAGGCCAGCGTCAAAGAGCACACGCTCTGCTGCTAGAGCGTCGGTGCCGGCGGCCCCTGGGCAGTGGCCTAGCTCTTCTGAGGCTCCCTTGTGTGACCTGTGGGATGGGGGGGTGACCATCTGCCGTGGGACCGGGCGGCTGCAGGAGCCTGTTGCTCCAGAGGCCTCCCTAAGCCCAGGGCCCTTGCGTCCGCGGGCCCCCGTCTGTGTGCTGTTGGCTTTGGCCTTCCTTCCTGGTGAGGCGGGCGGAGGCGGGCTGTTGGCGTGGGCCGCACTGGGGCTCCTGGGGCTGAGGCTGCCTCCCCCCGCAGCGTGGGCTACCCTCCAGGGCACTGGGACCCAGCTCCGAGACGCCCAGGCCAAGAAGGAGCAGCTGGCGGCCCGAGTGCAGGCGGTGCAGGCCATGCTGGCCATGGACACCGGTAGGTCGGTCCTCGCCCCTGCCCTTGGCCCCGTCCCGGGGCGGACAGCTCTGCTCCATGGCCATCGTGCCAGCCAGGGCTCTCCAGCGGGCTCTGAGGGGGGACGTGTTTGCACCTGCGCCATCCAGAGCAGTGGGCGGCCCCCGCCCCGGCGGCCTGCCTCTGCTCAGGAAACACCAAGGTAGCTCCAAGGAGCCGGTGAAGACGGGAAGGGAACAGGAGAGAAATAAAATGGGTTTGGGGGGGCACGGAGAGCGTGCAGCAGGGACGTTTCGTCCTCAGAGGTTGGGGACATTGGGCATGACCTGGCTCCCAGGTAGGATGTCCAAGGGAGGGTACAGTTGGTCGGAGAGCATGAGGTAGAGATGGGAGCCTGGAGGCCATGTGGTTGGAGCCAAGGACCCAGGGGAGGCCTCTGGGCAACGGGTGATGCGCCTGACCCAGGTCCAACCCGTGCAGCCACCAACTCGAGGGTAGGACGTCCCAGCAGGCTTGGGCGTGGGGCTGCGGGGGCTGAGGCAGGGCCGTGGGATGGATGATGGGGGCCGTGGGGGCACAGGGCTGAGCTGACGCGGGTGTGGCCTGAGAAGCTGGCACCGGGAGCTCCATGGTGGAGGGAGGACACAGAGGGTGGTTCTTGGGGCTCTCGTGGGATCTGTGGGGGGTGGGCACCCCTATTGTGGGACCTCGTCAGGGAGGAGTGGGTGGTCCCCCCCGAGAGGACGTGAAGCCGGAGAGTCCTAGCCTGTGCCGTGCCCGCCACAGATGAGACGAGCCAGAAGATTGCTCACGCCAAAGCTGTGGCCGCCGAAGCCCAGGCCACGGCCGCCCGCGTGCAGTCTCGGATTCAGGACATGCAGAGGAACCTGGAGCAGTGGCAGGGCCAGTACGGAGGCCTGCGGAGCCAGGACGTGGGCCAGGCGGTGCTGGACGCAGGCCGCTCAGGTGGGCCCCGGGCGCAGTGCCCCCAACGGCGGGGTGCGGGGGCGGGGTGGCCAGACTGTCACGGTCACCCTGTCTGCTCCCCGCAGTGTCCACCCTGGAGAAGACGCTGCCTCAGCTGCTGGCCAAGCTGAGCCTCCTGGAAAACCGTGGGGTGCACAACGCCAGCCTGGCCCTGTCGGCCAGCATCGGCCGAGTGCGGGAGCTCATCGCGCAAGCCCGAGGAGCCGCCAGCAAGGTGGGTGCGGGGGCCCGGGGACAGGCGCCCGAGGATCTGGGGCGGACACTGAGGAGCCCCCCCCACAGGTGAAGGTGTCCATGAAGTTCAACGGGCGCTCAGGGGTGCAGCTGCGGGCCCCTCGGGACCTCTCCGACCTCGCCGCCTACACTGCTCTCAAGTTCTACCTCCAGAGCCCGGAGCAGGAGTCGGGCCGGGTCACCAGGGACCGCTTTGTGCTCTACATGGGCAGCCGCCAGGTACGGGCCGGGCTGGGCCGCGCGGGCGCTGGCTGGGATTTGGTGGGCTGCGCCGTGTCCCCGCCCTGCTGACTCCTGTCGCCGCAGGCCGTCGGGGACTACATGGGTGTGGCTCTGCGGAACCAGAAGGTGCAGTGGGTGTACCGCCTGGGGGAGGCGGGCCACGCCGTCCTCAGCATCGACGAAGATATCGGGGAGCAGTTCGCAGCAATTAGCATTGACCGGTGGGTGGCCCGGCCCCCTGCGCTCCCCCTGCCGCCCCCCCCCCTGGCCCGCCCCTCACCCCGCCTCTGCCCACAGGACCCTCCAGTTTGGCCACATGTCCATCACGGTGGAGAAGCAGATGCTCCATGAGACCAAGGGTGACACGGTGGCCCCGGGGTCCGAGGGGCTGCTCAGCTTGCAGCCCGATGACTTTGTCTTCTACGTGGGGGGCTACCCCAGCAACTTCACGGTGCGCCTGGCTGGGGCGGGGGGCGGCCCTGCACGCCCGTCCCACACACCCCACTCCGCGTCCACCTGCGCTCTCGGCGCCTGCGCCAGGGCTGGGGGCAAGGAGCCCTGACCGTGCCCTGTGCCCGCAGCCCCCCGAGCCCCTCCGCCTCCCTGGCTACCTGGGTTGCATTGAGATGGACACGCTCAACGAGGAGGTGCTCAGCCTCTATAACTTCGAGGACATCTTCGAGCTGAACACGGCCGTGGACAGACCTTGTGCCCGGTACGTGCCGCCAGGGCCAGGCCCGCATCCCCCCTCGGCTGCTCTTGGCTGACCTCTGACCTCTGGCCTGTAGCTCCAAGTCGACCGGGGACCCCTGGCTCACTGACGGCTCCTACCTGGACGGCTCCGGCTTCGCTCGCATCAGCGTGGAGGCTCAGATGGGCTCTTACAAACGCTTTGAGCAGGAGCTGCGCCTCGTGTCCTCCAGCGGCATCATCTTCTTCATGCAGCACCAGGCACGCAGGCCCAGCCGGGTGCACACACCCCTGGCCCCCCACCCCATGCTGACCCTGCTCCCCATCCCGACCCTGTCCCCCAGCCCATCCCGACCCTGCCCCCCAATGCTGACCCTGTCCCCAACCCCACCCCATGCCGACCCTGCCCCCCAACCCCATCCCATGCCGACCCTGCCCCCCTACCCTATGCTGACCCTGCCCCCCACCCCAGGACCAGTTCCTGTGCCTGGCCGTGCAGAACGGCAGCCTCCTGCTCCTCTATGACTTGGGCACCGGCCTGCAGAAGGCCTCCCCGCAGCACACGCAGCACGAGGAGGTGCAGAGACTGCTAGCCCTGGGCACGGCCAGCAAGGCGGTGAGGCTGGGCTCGGGGAGGGCTGGCGGGCAGCGGGAGGGCCCGCAGGCGCACGCCTCACCCTCAAGGCCTGCACCTGGCGCCTCACAGATCCAGGTGTTCCTGCTGCGGGGCACTCAAAACCGCGTCAGCCGGGTGCTGGTGCGCGTGGAGAGGATCAACGTGTTCAGTGTGGAGCACAACAGCACCCTGGAGCTGGCCGACTCCTACTACCTGGGGGGCGTGCCGCCCGACCAGCTGCCCCCGAGGTGCGCGGGCGGTGCCAGGGTTGGCGGGGGGCGGGGGGCTCTGGGCGGCCGCCCTGACGCTCACCCCCCGCAGCCTGCGGCAGCTCTTCCCCTCCGGAGGCTCGATCCGCGGCTGCGTCAAGGGCATCAAGGCACAGGGCAAGTACGTGGATCTCAAGAGGCTGAACACCACCGGCGTCAGCTCGGGCTGCACTGCCGACCTGCTGGTGAGCACCCCCGCCCGGCCGGCGCCCCCGCGGGCCGTGCGGCAGGCCCCTCACCGGCACCCTCCCGTAGGTGGGACGGGCCATGACTTTCCACGGCGACGGCTACCTGTCCCACGAGCTCCCCGACGTCCCGCCCGTCGTGACCCACATCTACTCCGGCTTAGGCTTCCGCAGCACCCGGGACGACGGTCTGCTCTACCACCAAGCGCTCCTGGTGCGTGCGCCCCGACCCAGAGCAGCGGCCGCGCAGGGCGTGGGGGTGGAGGGCTGGCGCCCAGGCCCCCGCCTGCTCCGCTGACCCAGCCGCGGTCCCCAGGAGGGGCCATGCCAGGTGTCCCTGCAGCAGGGCCGTGTGACGCTCCGGCTGGTGAGGACGGAGGTGAAAACTCAAGGGAGCTTTGCTGACGGCGCACCCCACTACGTGGCCTTCTACGGCAACGACACGGGGTGAGCCTGCGCCGCGGGGGCTCCGGCAGCGGCGTCCAGGGAGGGTGGGGGGCAGTGGGCAGGAGAAACACTGCTCTCCCCGCAGGGTCTGGCTCTACGTGGACGACCAGCTGCAGCAGATGAAGCCCCACCAGGGCCCGCCCCCCGGGCTGCAGCCTCAGCCCTCCCCTCGGCTCTATCTGGGGGGCGGTTCCACAACCGGCGATGCGGTCAGCTTCACTGGCTGCATCCGCAACGTATTCCTGCTGCGGTGAGCCGTGGGTGGCGCGGGGAGGGGGGCTGGCGGGCAGGTGCCGGGGTGCCCCCGCCCTCGCCCCCGGACTGACCCCGCCACCCTCCTCAGGCCGCTGGGGCCGCAGCGCGTGTTTGACCTGCAGCAGGGCTGGGACAACGTGAACGTGAGCTCAGGCTGCGCCCCTGCCCCACGCACCCAGCCCCAGGGGCAGGGGCCTCGAGGACTGCGGGCCGCCGTGGCCCAGAAGGTGGGGCACCCGGAGGCTGGGGTGGGCGGAGCGGTGGGTGGGGGTCGGAAGGCAGCTCCCCACCTTCCTGCTTCCTTCCGCCCCCCCCAGGCCGGCCGACACAGCCGCCAGCCCCCCCAGGACCCTGCGTGCTCATCACCCTGGCCCCTCAGCGCCATCCAAGACGCCTACCAGTTTGGGGGCCCCCTGTCTGGTCACCTGGAGTTCACCCGCGTGCCGGCCGCCCCCAGGAACGGGTAAGGCGGGGTCAGGTGGGGGGGCGCGGGGTGGCCGCCCTGGCTGACGGCCTTGCTCGGCTTCCAGGTCCCACGTGTCGATGCTGGTGCGCCCCCACCTCCCACGAGGACTCCTGCTCCTCGCGGCCCCCCTCGCAGATGGCAGCCCCTCCCTGGTCCTCTTCCTGAGCCACGGATACTTTGTCGCGCAGACAGAAGGCCCCGGGCCCCAGCTCCGAGTGCGGAGCCGCCAGCGTTCACGGACTAACCGGTGGCACACGGTGAGGAGCTGGGGGTGGGGGACGGGCCGGGTCCCGGGGGCTCCCATTCTGACATCCCCTCCGGCCCGCAGGTGTCTGTGCGGTGGGAGAAGACGCGGATCCAGCTGACGATCAATGGGGTCTGGGCCCGGGACCAGGAGGGACCCGGCCAGCAGCACCAGGCGGCAGGGAGCCCCCGGCCCCACACTCTGTTCGTGGGGGGCCTCCCTGCCAGTGGCTTCAGCCCCAGGCTGCCAGTGAGAAGCACCTCGGGCCGCACCCCCTCCTTGCTGACCCGCCCTCCCCGGCCCCTGGGACCTGCCGCCACAGCAGCCCCTCTGTTCCCACAGGTGGCCGTCGGCAGCTTCAGCGGCTGCGTGAGGAGACTGCGGCTGGACGGACAGCCCCTGGGGGCCCCCACAAGGGTGACGGGGGTCACGCCGTGCTTCTCAGGGCCCCTGGAGGAGGGCCTGTTCTTCGCGGACAGCGGGGGTGTCGTCACCCTAGGTCTGTAGGGCGTGGCTGTGCCCTGGGCCGGGCAGGGAGGCGGGGCGCCCGGGGCCTTCCTCACCGCCCCTCCCCACAGACACGCTGGGGGCCGCTCTCGGGACCCTGGAGCTGGAGGTCCGGCCCCAGACAGCCAGCGGCCTGGTCTTCCACCTGGGCCGGGTGCAGGCACCGCCCTACCTGCAGCTGCAGGTGCTGGAGAAGCAGGTAAGTGGTGGGCCCGTGGGGGAAGGGGAAACGGGGCGGGGGGGGGGGGGGCGCGGGACAGGGGCTCCCCTCCTGACCTCCCCCCGCCCCCAGGTCCTGCTGCGGGCCGACGATGGCGCAGGGGAGTTCTCCACGTGGGTGACGTGCCCTGCAGCCTTGTGTGATGGGCAGTGGCACCGCCTGGAGGGTGAGTCGACCCCCTCTCCCACCCCTTCTTTTCCGCGGAGTGGACTGCCTGGGGGGCCTTGGGGGTGCAGCTGTGGGGCCCCCAGCCCTCCCCATCACATGGAACCTGTGCCCACAGTGACCAGAAGCGGGAACGTGCTCCAGCTGAAGGTGGACACGCAGAGCAACCACACCGTGGGCCCCGCGCCAGCAGCCTCGGCGGACGCCAGACCACCCCTGCACCTCGGGGGCCTGCCTGGTGAGCGCGGTCTCAGCCTGGGGGTGGGGGCCGCCCCACTTTCACCCCACCCTCCTGAGGGCACGGCCAGGGGACACTGGCCGCTGCTCCAACCCGTCTCCCCCTGGTCCCTTGCTCCCCCAGGGCCCCTGAACGCACAGGCGGGGCCTCTAGCCTACCGCGGCTGCATGAGGAACCTGGTGCTGAACCGGTCCCCCGTGACCTGGCCTCGCTCTGTGGGCGTCCAGGGGGCAGTGGGGGCCAGCGGCTGCCCCTCCAACCACGCAGCAGAGCGCCCAGGGGCCCCGGCTGGGCATCCACTGGAGGGCCGCCCCGGGCAGGCCGGCTCCCACCTCTCGGGGCCTCCAGCCCCCTTCAGCTGAAGTCTGTGTCTATTTATCTGGACTCTAGATTCTACAGGTGATGAGTCTTCTTTCTGGAAATGGTTTTTATCAACCGGGTTTTTAATATTTTTTATCTTTCAACTTCGTTATGAGATTCCCCCTCCAATTTTTAATAATATGAGAATCTGCCCCGCTTCTAAAAAATTAAAAAGTAACTTCTGTTTAACTGGGTGTTGACGTTAAATGTGAAAGGAGTAGAGCGTTCACAGGCAGAGCGCGACCCCGGACGTGCCCAGGGCGCTCCCCTCAGCAGCTCCCCTCCTGGGCACACAGCAAAACCAGAATTGGCAGGTAAAAGACAAGACCTTTATTTCTCAGCAAGCTGGAATGGAGGTGAGGGCGTGCGCCACCAGCCCCATCACTGAGGTTGCCAGCCGCGAATCCCAACCCCTTGGGGACAGCAGACGATTAATCTAAGCTCATGTCTTCCTCTTCGTCCTTTTTGTCCTTCCCGTCACCCTCCTGCTCGGATCTGGCACTGTTCTGCATAGCTTTGGCAAATGCTTCCACATCTAAAACGCATTTAAAAACAAGAGGTGACCTTTCTAGACCCTGGCCTGGAACCGCTGACCAAATTAAGGCCCAGGACCACGGAGAACCCACGCCCGGGTGGCCAGCCCCAGGCTGTGCAAACAGGGGAGGCCTTTGAACTACAAGGATTAAGACAAACTCGGCCTTGGTGTGTGTGTGTGTGGGGGGGGGCACTCACCGCCCTTGTTGGCCGCCTCCACGGCCTCTGCAGGCAGCCCAAACTGGCACATGAGGGGGCCCAGCTGCCCCGAGGCCAACGCTGCGCTGAACATGCCCAGGGCCTACAAAGGAAAGCCAGACAGGCCTTGAACCCCAGGGGAGGGAGAGGTGCGGGGGCCAGTCGCAGGGGCAGGGACGCTCAGTGACAAGGAACCACGCTGAAGGCAGGGCACCCAGGCCACAGCCTCTACCTGCTGGAACTGGGGCGAGGTCAGAGTGTTCTGGATCTCCTCTGCTGTCTGCGGCAGCGACTCCCCAGAGGGCAGGTAGGGCAGCAGGCGCTCCTGGACGTCCGCGTTGGCAAGGATAGGTGCCATGATCTCGGGCGTCAGAACACTGGCCAGGTCAACTAAGGCACAAGCGCACAGCCATCAGCGGCTCGAAGCCCACATGGACACCCACGCAGGAGGCCAGCCACGGACACCCAAGCCCTGAGGTGTGGCAAGGTGCGGGAGGCAGAGGTGACATACGTGCAGGGCAGCGGCTCAGCCAGGGACATGCTTGGCCCCATGCCTTGGAAAGCCAGCGAGCGAGCAGGAAGGGGGCAGCAGGCACCTTCACCCCCCAGCCTGGAGCTGAGCAGCACGTGTTACCTTGCTGGCCGCCTCCGGGCCCGGCCGGCACGTTCATAGTAGCTAGAATGCTCTGAAGGTCGCTCAGCTGGATGGGCTGGGTTGGGCTGGCCGCCGTGCTGGTTCCATTACCTGAACTGGGTGCGGGGCTCGGGCTGGTCACCGAGGCAGCTGCTGGAGCAGAGGGGGCTGGGGTGGCTCGGGTAGAAGAGGTGGTGGAGGACGGGGTGACTGCTGCCGACTGGCTCCGGGAGCTGGGAAGAGGGAGGGCAGCCATGGAGCGGCCACGCACCCTAAAGGCGCCCACAGAGCACGTCGGTCCCGCTGCCAAGGTCCTTGTGTTGCCAGGAATCCAGGAACGGTCTAGACCCCGAAAAGGACCCTCCCCAGAGGTCTTTTTTGTCCTTCCATACCTCCTATGTCCAGTCTCCCTGGAGGAGGGGAGGCCTGGGGGCACCCAGGCGTGGTGGGGGGCAGAGTACGAGGCTCACCTGGATGAAGAGCTGCTTGCTGGAGGCCCTCCACTCCCCAGTAAGCTGGCCAGGCCTGGCCCGGTCAGAGCCCCCAGCCCACCTGCAAGGAGACAGGAGCTCAGATGCCACACCCTCTCCCTGCTGAACACCCTGTGCTAAAACCAAGGGACGAGCAGGGACAAATGGTGACCAGTGGGCTGCGGTGCTGGAGTAGTGACTGCTCATACCCCAGCATTCTGGAAGCTTATTCCGTAAGTAAGATCACTAATGACACACCGAGGTCCAAGGTAACACATAGTCCAAACCTGGGAGAGTAGCGAGAGTTTCCCTGCCGCCCAAGAAACACACCCCTCCCGGCCCAACAGCAGGTGGTGGCGGGGAGGACCCCCAGAGGGGAACCGGAGGGCCCCAGGCAGGAGCCTCACTCCCAGGCCAGCTGTGCTCCCCCTACCCACCGGCCTGAGGACAGGGGTCACTCAGAGCCAACGAGAAGCTTAAGAGGAAAAATTCAAATCCCCAAGCAACCTAACTGAAGGCCATCCACTCTAACAGGCCCGCAAGGGCGCGTGCGCTTACCCAGTCCTCCAAGGCCAGCAGGTCCAATCAGCTGCATGAGCTGGCTGTGGCTCATGTTTCCCAGCAGGCTCTGCAAACCGCCCTCACCTGTAAGACAGAAGGTGCTCAGACTTGGGGCTTGGTGCTCGGGTCAACACCTGCAGGGAGCACGGGGATTCTGGGGGCCTCTGATGAGACAGTACACGCGTGCGCACACACCCCTGGTACGTAGCGCCTGAAAGGAGCCAACAGGGTAGAGCTCAGACACTGCTCTATCACCAAAAGATGGGCGGGGGGGCGGGGCGGGGGGCCTGACTTGGAAGTGATAAGAAACTTCTAGCTTAGAAGCCTCCATTTCCACTTAAAAAACAACCAGGCTGGGGACACCTGGGTGGCTCAGGTCATGGTCCCAGGACGGAGCCCCACATCCAGCTCCAGGCTCAGGAGGGGATTTGCTTCCTCCTCCACCCTCTGCCCCTCCCCCATTACACGTGCTCTTCATAAACAAACAGAATCTTAATAAAGAAATGAAAAACCAAACAACCAAACTGCACATTCGGGGGTCCACGTCATTGACATCTATGCACATGCCAGCACATTCTGGAAGGTGATCATTACCGCCCAGTGCAGAAAGCTCATGGCCGCCACTCCCGCTGGTCCCCAAGGCTCCAGGCATGGGAGGGTTGTTCAGATACTCGTTGACCTTCCGGCAATGCTCCTCGTCCTGATCCGTCTTGGGCTCCTGCGGGGGGAGGACAGGACCACAGCTGCAGCCGAGAGCAGCCCACCGCCACTGAAGTAGCTAACAGACCGGTGAGGCTGACAGGTGCTTCCCTGTCCACAGCCACACAGCACCCAGCAGGCCCCGCGGGGCTGATGGGAACAGCAGCCCGACCATGTCGCCGGTGCTGGGGCAACGCTCGGTGTGAGGATGGGGAGACGAAGGCACCGAGCACCAGTCTGCACACAGCAACGCCTCCTGGGCCTCCAGAATCTGCTTCTTCACACGACAGTCTAAAAGCCAGGAAGCCTTCCTGGGACCCTTTTATCACACCACTGCCCACGAACCAGCCCCAACCCGGCCCTTCAACGTTAGTTGGAAACTCAAGAAAGCCCCTGGCAGGCACGCAACTCAAGCACCTCGGGGTGTGGGCTCATCAGGCAGTGTGCTGTAGGTGCCCCCAGAACCACGAGACAAAGCGCCCGTGACCGAGCACACCCCGTGGGTCTGCTGGGGGCCACAGACACAGCAGGGGGACCAAACAGAGTTCCCCACCCCAGGGCAAGGCTAACGATGAGCAAAATCAGGAAGAAAAAATGAAGGGCCAGTGGAACATTTCCTGGCAGAACCTTGGAGAAAAAGCTCAATGCCCCCCCCCCCCCAGTCTGTGTTTGCAAATGAAGTTTTATTGGACGGCAGCTGCAAGATCTTTACTCCTGTCTAGGCGTCTCGCACGCTACTGGGCAGCATGGGCAGAGGCAAGCGTCCTGCCCTGCCCCCGGAGAGAAAACTTTTCTGCCTCGCTCCAGAACCACCGTCAGAATTGCAACATGCCCACGACATGCCCACGTATGCCCACTTCTAACAAGTCACTTCTGAGTTTTAACATAGAGACTCCCCTGCAGCCTTGGCATAAAGTTACTCTTCACGCTGCCTGCAACAAAATGACAAATGGGGATGGAAACAAGTCCAACCCCGGAGAAGGCACACTTGACTGCAGCTGTGGGCGCCAGGGAGCCCTGGTGCACTGACCCCTGGAGACCCCCCAAAGCACACAACTGGGGCGGAGGAACAAAGCTCAGAAACATTTGGGAGAGAACACTCCATTTCTGTAAAAAAACACACCAAGAACACCACACAGTCACCCCTGCTTTTGCTCGCGGGTGCTCGTGGCCCAGGGTGGGGGTGGGGGGGCTGCGAGACCAGCACAGCAGACGCTCTGCACCCACCGACTCAGCCACACTGGGTCCCACCCACAAATCACTCTCATTGGTCTGCCAGGAATTCTGGATCCTACACGGGCACCAGGAGAGCAGGCACAAGTGTGTGGACTCCGGGAGGGGCCCCCAAGCCCCCCCACCAGGAGACACCGGAATTCTCAGGGTGTGGGACAATCACGCTCCGACAGCATCCACGTTTCGTGAAAACGAATTCCACCAACCAGGGAGCTTCTTTCTCACCTAATTTTATTTTATTTTTTAATATTTTATTTATTTGAGAGAGAGAGACAGAACACAAGCAGGGGATGTGGCAGAGGCAGAGGAAGAAGCTGACTCCCGCTGAGCAGGGAGCCCGACACAGGGCCCTGTCCCAGGACCCCGGGATCATGACCTGAGCTGAAGCAGATGCTCGACGGACTGAGCACCCCAGGCCCCCCTTCTCATCTGACGTTACGACGAGAAAATACAGAGTGCAAATAAGACCTCTTATGTACCTGCATCCAGAAGAACAGGCGTTTGGACCCTGCCTTGAACTTGAGCACGTACACCCTCCCGCTGGGGCACTGCGGCACGCGCTTGAACTCACAGTCGTCAGGGAAGATGATCAGGTCCTGCCAAGAGCCACACAGTGGCACAGTGAAGATGCAGTTAGGCTCACAGACACGCACGCCGCTGAGCCCCGAGCCCCCCAGGAAACACGCTGGCTCCCAGGTCTGGGGGGTGCACCGGGCGCAGGGCCGAGCAGGGCCCCACCAGGTGGGGAAGCCGGGGCTGAGGCGCCCACCACAGCCCTGCAGGCCGGGCGAGGGGCTCACAGGGCCCACAGGGCCCAGCAGGGAAGGCGGGCGTGCAGCTTTCCAAGCGTTTTTAAGAAA